TGCATTTGAATCCCAGGCAATTTACAAGCTATTTGACGTTGAGCAGGTTACATACCCTGTCTGTGCCTGGGTTTCTCTAAGGTTGTGCAAATTGTTTATTTAGAATAAAGTGTGCATATTGGATGTGCTGTGAAGTGACTAACCACTTCCCATAAGCAAGGGAGTCCTAGGAGCCCCTACACATCCCCACAGTTGACCATCTGTCTGCCTCACTCTTCCAGCTGCAAGGCAAGCGGCACAGTCCAGAGGCAGATGGCTTGGCAGGTCTAGACCATGCTGAGAGGGAAAGTCAGAAAGAGACACTGGACGTTAAAACTATCCCATAGCATCTTTACAGCTCTTAATATCTTTAGATTGCCCTTCACTCTCAGAACAGCAAAGTCTATGTTGCTTTCCACACTATGGAGAAAATACATGGTTCAGAGATTTTGTGATCTGTGTCACAAGGCTAAAAAGTAGTAGAGAAACAAGTTACAGTCTGTGAGAATCCAAGTTTCTTTAGATGTCACAAAACTTCTTCAAAAGTTGATTCAAGTTGCACGTGTCCTATATAAATTATTTAATCGGCCCTGAATGCAGGGCTGAGGATAATGCGGGAAAGTGAAGCAGCCTGTGTTCCCTGTTGGCCTGAAGCTGTCTTCTTTTTTCTTTTCTGATGGGCCAACAGAGAAAAATGATTACCTATATATGTCTCAGTTTTACAGATTCTTATCTTTTGGGCCTTTTGCTTCTCCTTATTGCTGACATTTGGTCACACCTATAGTTGTAACATTATGCCTAGAGGTAGGAATGGCAAAGGAATGACTCAGTTCTCAATATATTTCCACATGCACAAGTCTTGTAAAGAAGAAAGCAAGCATTTGCTGTCGGAAGAGGTTAAAGCATCTGGTGCCGTATTTGAGTTGTCAAAGTGTCTTTGTTCTTGTCTATGTCTACAAATGACAGACTCAGCTCTATTTCCTGCTTGGAAGAGCAGGAAAAACTGAACTGAAATGTTTCTGGAAGTTGCTGAATTATCTGTACTGGTTAGTAGTTCTGGAATAACAGGCAGCAAATATATTTGGTTGCATTTTAGAAATGTGACTTGATAAAAACTACATGTGATACTTAGAAAATAATGTATTTCTTCATGGTTGGCAGTGGCATGGTGCAGAGCATAGGGAGGCTGAGCCCTGACTCATGTTCTGGTTGACAGCATAGCTCACCAGCTGTGCAGTTGTTAGAATGTTCTTGAGAAACTACAGATGCAGATGATAGCTGAACTTACTCAACAGTTCTTTGCCTGGGAGGGAAAGTCTACTTCAAGAGTTTAATGATAATAAAATGCTAATAGCCCAGAAGTAACCATCCGGAAAGTAGGACAGAGCAAAACAGAGGACTCCTAGAATAAACTGAACAACCCTCTAACGCCTACAATGTGGCCCTGTCACCAAGTCTACGTTTTCCTCTGCATCTGTACACAGCCCAGGTGAGTCACATTCCTGACACATAATTTGGCCTGTTTTGCCCTGTGCAGTGGGCTGAATGGTAGATATGTTTATACCCTGATCCCCAGGACCTGTGAATATTACCTTATTTGCAAAAAGGTCTTTTGCAGATGTAATTAATGTGAATATCTTGGGGTAAGAAGAATACTTCGGATTACCCAAGTGGCGTGTATATTCACCAACAGATGTGTTTGTAAGAAATACACAAAAGAGGGCCAGGGATATAGCTCAACAGCACAGTGCCTGCCTGGCAAGTGTGAGGTCAATTCCCCATATCAAAAAAAAAAAAAATGCACAGAAAAGAAAATATGTACAATGCTGACGTGAAAATGGAAGCAGTGATTATCTGGAAGGATGCAGTTACAAGCTAGGGAATAGCATGACGTGCCAGTAGCTACCACAGCTGAAAGAGACTCTAGAAGAAACACAGTCCTGCTGACATTTCAAGTTTGGATTTTTGGCCTCCATAACTGCTAGAATAAAATTACTGTTCTAAACTACAAACTTTGTGATCTTGTGTCAGGGTAGTCTTATGAAACTAACTTTCTCTGCTTCTATCTAGGGATCAGTTTTTCTAACTCCCAGCTCTAGCCCTTAGTCCTAAGGGGGATCCAACTTTGGGGATTGGTGCTGAGTTCCTGCACCTGCTTTTGATTTACTCTCCTATTTGATACCTACAATTTTTCAGCCTGTGACATCTTTTCAATTTTAATGTGTGCTAATTTCTTAAGCGTCAGGACTGGTTTTTCATCTCTGTATTTCCAGTTCTGATGTTGAAGTTTAGACCTTTGAGTAAGGACAGGCTTGCTGAAGGGAAGCTTGGTTAATGTTAGTATTTTTGATTCTTAGGGTTCTGTGGACCTTAATTTGTTACTAGGGTTTCAGTATGAGAACCAGCTATTCTTGAATAGTAGGATAGAATTTTGGCGTGGCTGAAAAGATAAGAATATGAAATATAAATGACCTTTATTTTAAGAATGTGGGGAGAGACCCCCTGACCCTCCGGGGTCTGGCATTGTCTCTGGGGGCTGGCATTCTCTCTGTCAGACACGTGGAGTGGGGGCATATACGTAGCTTGGGTTTGGGGTGGTGCCTAAGGGGCATTAGTGATGCACAGGTAGCCCATTGGTATTCATTTCGCACCACAGGTAAATTCCTAGGGGTGGGGAAGATAGAGCCACAGGTAAATTCCTAGGGGCAGGGAAGATGACCTCAAGTTAGAGTCTCTCAGTTCTGCCTCCAAGGCTTTACCGGCTACAGTGTCCAGCCTAGGGCAAGATTCTTTCATTCTTGTCTTTTGATTATTAGGAAAAAGGGTGAAGCTTTCTTTCTTTTACTTCTTCCTGCTGGAAGAAGGCACTGTACTGGGGTTTAGGAGAGTCGATGGGATGACAGTTGATGCCCATGTAGAAGCTGGTGCCAGGTGTTTTAACCAGGACAACTTTATCTCTGGTGAATGCCCGTATGTTAGATGGAAAAACAAAGAGACAAGGTGTTATGAGGAGGCATGGCACTGTCATATTTAAGGACCCAGGTGAGGTATAAGGAAAGGTGCCTTTGATTTGGATATGTCATTTTATCAGAACCACATTGAGGTAGAATCATTGCCATGGTAAGGTAGAATTCTGAAGAATAAGTGTGGGGTTAGGAGGAGTGAAGTTATGAGAGGTGCTTATTCCCCCATCTGAAAGGGTAAAAGTTAAGAGGGCAGATAGGTAAGACTTGTCTCTGGTATGCATGATGTGGAAGTCTGTAGGAAATACTGTTGAGAGTCCTGCTGTAAAAAGGATAAGAAATTAGGAACCAAATTGGATAACGAAATATGACAGCCTGAGAGTTGTGGCTGTGAGGCCTTGGTGAGGTGGACATGAGTGGGCAAAAGGATGGTTAGATCTAGGGCTGGAAGGGCACCACTTAGCCTGAGTGATGTGAAACCAGGATGGCAGTCTAGCAACTTTGACCGCTGTTGAGGTTGCTAAGAAGACCAGGTATGGGTCGCTCTAACTTGGTTGTAGTCCTTGCGATGATTTGTTGTAATAGGACTTTAGTAAGTATATCAGCAGTTTTCCTGGTTGTGGGAAAGGCTTTTATGTATCCTGAAAATGTATAAACAAAGGTGAGAAGATAAAATTTATCTGTCAGTCTTGACCAGGGTTGTGTCTGAGAAATTGGTGAATAGGAAAGGAAGGGAAGGGGGTGGTATATATCCCTGAGGAGAGGTTGACTAGCGATAACAGGTGTGAGCCATTGAGGCCTCAGTGTCTGGGTCAGTCTGCATAAACACAAGGGAATAAAAACATTTTTAAGATTTAGGACTGTGAAGTGAGCACTGGAGGGAAGGTTTGGTACCACTGGGTGGATTGGGAAGAAGCAGTCTGGAACCTGCATGAAAATAGGCCCTGTTTGTAAATAGTGTAGGTTGGCCATCAATACCCCCTATAGAGACTGAGGACTTAATATAGTGGGCTGAAAGCTCAGGAAAAACCCTATATATCCACAAGTATAGAGAATGTCTTACCTAAGACTTCTAGTGGGACTTGGGACTCTGAGACAGACACCTTAAAGTGGGCTGTGGGCCCTGAGCCCCGTGAGTCTTCAGCAGCAAGTTTAAGCAGATCTGTCAGCGATGAATCTGGCAATGTTGGCATTTCCTGTGAGGGCTAGAAGTTAGGATGGCTTACCCACTCTCTGGTGGCTAGGACAGTCCAATAGCCCTGGGGTAAGATCTCAAAGGAACGCCAGGATGGGGCACTCTCTTGCCCAGTGTCCTTTTGCTGCATTTGAGACATTGGGGGAGGGGGCTCAGATAGCTCCACCTTGTGTCAGTTTACCTGTCTCAGAACTCCAAGTGTCACTGCTATCTCTGTTGCTGAAAACATGAAAAGCTATATTAAGGAGGTCTCTGTGGGGTTTGAGGGCCAAGTTTTGCCTTTAGTCTTGGGATCTGGTCTATAGTAGAAGATATCTGTAATGGCTTTCCATAAGGAGGACGAGGACTTAATATAGTGGGCTGAAAGCTCGGGAAAAACCCTATATATCCACAAGATGAGGTCCAGGGAATTTTAGAAACTGACATGTCATCTATGTCATATCTTTTTATGTTATTAAAATGTCTAATGCCATCTGATTTTTGGAGGATGGCCTGTTTCATTAATTTTTACCTTTTTAATTTAGGAGAGAGATCAGCTATGGTGTCATTTAACATCAGTTGAATATAGTTAATTATGGCTTGGTGGAGGGCTGAGTCAGGGCAGGTAGACAGACTGGGAAAGTTTTAAGTCTGGCTTCTGCCTCAGTGTTGGTCTTGTGGTTTTGCATGTATCATATGGCCTTTTTTGGGAAAGATCTAGTGGTTTCCAGCAAAAGGAATTTATAATTACCTCTTAATTTTAGTTGTTAAACATGTAGAAGATTGGTAACAGTACAGTAAAATATAGGCAGTAAGCTTACCATAGAACATTAAATGACTACCAACCAGGAGTATTTTAGAAGATTGATAACAGTACAGCACAATATAGGCAGTAAGCTTAATATCAACCATGAGCATTTTTAGAAGACTGATAACAGTATAGTACAATATAGGCAGTAAGCTTAACATAAAACATTAAATGGCTATTAACCATGAGCATTTTAACATTTGAACGCCAAAGAAATTTGTGAAACATCTCTCAGCCTATGTCTGGATCAGAAGGAAAACATTTGTCATGGCTGGAACACAAGAAAAAGGCAGTGAAAACAATTAGAATTTTATATTTGAAAGCATGAATACACCATCAGATCAGCAACAATGAATTGTGTTAGTCATATGAACTTTAGTTGAGGTATCTCACATAAGGCTATGTAGATTATTGAAGGCTTTAATTGATAAACAAGGCTGGTAAAATTCCCAGGTAGCCACTTCCCCGTTTATCAGCCAAAGTCTTGTCTATTGTCTTTTTACCCCAGTTTATTTAACCCAAATAAACCTTGATTAAATGGTTTGAGAACATAAAAAAGGCTGGTGTGGACCAAGAAATAGCATCTCTGACCTGCCAAGCTGCCAGTCTTCTGTGTTTGTGCTCAGAGTGGCGCTTGCGCTTAGGGGTGGGGGCTGGGACTGCTCGGGAGATGCCCGCAGCGCGAGATGCCTGCAGCTCAAGATGCCCGCAGCGCATAGGGAGGGGACACGCAGGGTGGGGGCGGCGCCCGCAGAGTGGCGGGTGGGGCGCGTGCAGGGCGGGGCACATTGGGCAGAGCCAGGACTGCTCCGCAGACCCAGGAATTCTATCAGTAGAGTAAAATACATCACTACTGACTTGGATTGAAGATAAGGGAGGTGCTAAACTTTGGGGTACTAAATTTCTGCTACTTATGCCTGAGTTATGGTCGTTTTCACCCAGAGTGTGCCTCTACTTCACAAATTTCAGTTGGCTTTGGAAAAGTAGCTTGACTCACCGTGACAAAGAACACTTTTAATCAACTAGTGATGTCCAGCAAGGGAGAGGATTTTCTGGGGGTGTGCTGAGTGCTCTGTACTTAAGAATGTGAAAGTATTTTATCTGAGTGGAGACAGTGATTCTCACAGAGCTCAGATGTCAAAGTGCAGATCCTGCAATATGCCCCTGAAAGTTTCTTTAAATTAAAAGGTAGTAGAAAATAAAATAATAAAACAGTGCTAGATGATATCAGGAGCAAAAGTGTTGCTACCTTCCCAACACTGGTCCTAGTTTCACTCACACAGTGACTGGATGGGAGAGTCCTCATCCCCTTGTGATGTGCTCCCGATCTTGGAGTTCCCTCTGTGGTGTTTGTAGGGTAGTCCTCAGCTTCTGACAGAGCACTCCAGCAGCTGGGGAATTTGAGTTTTCATAGAGCAGCTACATTATTCTTATTATTTTGTACAGCACTGATTATAGGTAATCAGATAGTCTATGCTTTATGCGGAACCAGAACTCAGGGCTTTCTTACTCTAGGTTGTTTATTCTGGACTGTCTTTGGAGGTTAAGTCAAATCTCAATTCTTCAAGATAGCCTGCTCTTTTAGAAGATGGCTTACTCTCAGTGGATTTGTGTCTAGTAGCAGGTGCAGAATCTCAAGTCTTATCACTCACTGTGGCACTGCAGTGTTTATCATGACCTGTATATTGTCCGGGTGACCTGCATGCACATTACAGTTTGAGAAGCACTGAATTCAGTCTCATATACTGGTCCTACTACAACAACTTTAACAAAACTGCTGTTGCTCTCAGGTTTGCTGGTGCTCAAAAAAATCTCAGCTGAGAAAAAAAATTTAACAAGGCAAGAAATCCAGCTCTGAATAAGTGAAACCCAAGTACAGAAAGTACAAAATTGGTCTGACATCAGTTAAAGTTGCCATTCTACTCACTGAAATCTATTGGCAACTATTTTCATATGTCCCTAATACAAGCATAAAAAGTAATGTTGATGATTGTTAATCTTTGATAGGCTTATAAGATTACAAATGCCTTTGAAATCATTGAAGATAGATTAAATTAGGCTGCATGTGATTTAGTGCTGAGTCTTGCCTTATGATTTTTTTAAAAATTAATTTTATTGATACACTTTTAACATACAAAATTTGTACCTGTACATAATATATCGTAATTCTTTTTTCCCACTCCTCTCCTTTCCCTTCAATCCTTCATCCCCTCCCCACTTACTAAACTGTGTTTCTATTGTTTTTTATTTTTGAATCCCTAATCTCTTCATCCCCCTCTCCTGACTCCTTCCCTTGTTCCATTTCCCATTTGAACACTTTTTTTCTGACTTCCCAATATCTATCCTCTATTTAGGTCCTTATTTACCCTTTGGGTTTCTCCTACAAGAGAAATAATACAACATTTAAACATGTCTGTCCAATTTATTTCACTTAAAATTATGTTCTTAAGGTTGCCTCTTGATTTTTAAAGACCTGATACACTAGGTAAGTGTTAGAACAACTCTCTTTTCTGTCACACTGAGTCGAGGCAGCCACAAAATTTCCCTTGTAGTACTGTTGAGCTGCAAGAAGAAGGAAAGTCAAAATCATTTTTCTATTTCTGACATTACCACAAGGGCAACAACTGAGAATTCACATTTGAGAGGGGCCTGGAGGATGCTCTCTGAGGACACAGCTGTGCTGGAGAGAAGAGCTTACAATTTGTACACTCAGCAGTATGGAAATGAACTCGACCAGCTCATGAGTATGAATAAAGGCTTAGCTGCCTTTCCAACCACAAAGCATCATTCTAGCTTTGGCACTTTTTAGACATTCAGTAAAACAGACTGAACTTAATGGCAGATGACAGTGCCAACAGTCTCCATTTAACCCAAGCAAAAGCCTCAAGAAGCTCCTTCCCTCAGCCTCTTCATATTTTTTTCCTCTCTCTCTCTACTTGATTGATATTCATGGTGACCTTTCAGCCCGACACCCACAGCATGGGACGTCAGCCTAGACTGCTGGGCTAAGTCAGCAGGGCCTGGATGTCATTGTGACCCAAGTTCACTCTATAGCGTTTCAGGGTATTCAGTTTAGCAGCATCTTTCTGCCCTTTTGTAATGTGTCTAGGCTGCTGGGATTAGGCGGGTACCAACCCAGTAAGTGAACTAATTTAGTAATCACACACGCTCGATCCCAGCATCACACACTCTGGATCCAGCCACCTCTAAAAAAGCCTCATCTGTGATCATAGGGAGCTTTGAGGGGACATCTAGACCTAAACCTGAAAGAGTTTTGGCCCAGACAGGACACTGTAGCCAGTAAAGCCAAGGAGCTCCTATCTCCCTCACCCCTAGGAATTTACCTGTGGTGCCAAACAAAGACCAATGGGCTACCTGTGCATCCCTAATGCCCCCTTAGGTTCTACCCCAAACCGAGGCTACTTATGTGCCTCACTCCACGTGTTCCACGGAGAGATCACCGACCCCAGGGGGAGATGCCGTACCCAGGGGATTGGGGGTGTCTCTCCTCGCATTCTCAAAATAAAGATCATTTATATTTCATACTTCCTATCTTTTCAGCTGTGGCTGGTCCCCCACAGTTCTATCAAAACCATAGCAGAGCCGTACTCATTTTCATAAGGCTTGAAGGATAGGCTACAGTGGGACCTGAAAATGATTGTTGACTTCAATAGATGTAGGGAATCAGTCACTGAAAGTCTGGGACATGGTGATGCCTTTTTGAGAAGAAGGAACATAGGAAACGGACAATTTGAAGATGGGACCAGCAGGATTTATGAAATATTAAAGGCTTTACAATTTCAAAGTGATTTCACATACATTGTGCCGTGGCCTAGTATTCCTTCTCACAATAGTACACGGAATCTATGCCAAGCTTATAGTGGTTCTTATCCCCATGATACCCTTAACCAGCAACTCCTTATTATGGACAAATGGCTCCTTTACTGTCCTCAAATGAAACTCATTATTGATTTATTTGCACACAATTTTTTAAAAGATCAACATCACACTTTTGTGTCATATAAAGGAAAATTCAAACCACATGATTAATTTTAAAATACATTTTTCTATATATAAAAGCCCTAACATGACATCCTAGAAGATAAAATGAAGTGTTAGATACCTTTACATGTAAAACTCAATGACTGCAAGTGCAGACAATACAAATGTGTAGTGTTCATAACTCAAATGGAATGGTCTTTAGTGATATGGTTGTATAAACGGTGGGCAATGCTTGGTAAAATTCTAGAAAGAATGAAGTATGTATACTACACCCTCAGTTATTCAGTACTTGCAGCCCTAAGAATCCAGTGTATAAAAACTGCCAAAATACATCAGGTATATGTGAGATACAGAGTCCAGCACTAGGCTCAAGTGATTATAAAAATGTCCATACAATAGCACTTTGGTATTGCAGTACATCTTACACTGTCTCCTGGCTCCCAGCCATTAGATGCCAGACATCTTTCTATCACTTTAACAACCACAAGTGGTCCCAGAATTCTGTATCCTCAAAAGGAACAGCCCCAGCCCACTAAGTACCTCTGGTCTGGATGCTAGCTCAAAGATGGTAGCACACAAGGGGACTAGGAGGATTGTGATGTACAGCCCAGAAATGAAGTTGGCCACAGTGCTTTCTTCTCTAGCCAAGGAGAGCTCGCAACTTTTAAAATTATGCTAAGCTGGTTTTTCCAAGTTGGCAAGTTCTGAGCCCAGGTAGGAGATAAAATGAGGAAAACATATGGTGTTTAGTAGAAAAAGAAATGCAAACCCTTTTTAATTTATTTAGGTTAGAGGCCAACAAACTCAATCTGATTCCCTGCCTTCCACATTGGCTCACTGGGAGGAATACACTGTGTTTCAAAAATAGGAGCAATCTAGTGTAACATGAATCTTTAAAACTGGTTTGAAATTTAATTAATGTTTTCTTTTAAACTATGAGAATGACCTCAGCCACTTTCCCCGGGTTTTGTGAAGTATATGGTAATGGCTAATCCCTCTGGTATTTGCACTGTGCAGAGTGAAGGTAGTGAGCAGATGTGCCTGGTTGTTTAGTATTAGCACTCTGCAGGTTGCCTTCTGTTTCTGAGTTGAAGACAAACATATTCAAAGGGCTTGATTCATTTAGAGTACTTTGCAGAGGATTTGGAGCTTGGATTTTCATTTAATGACAATAGCACACATATACACATCACCCACTCTTTCACAGATATTGATGTAGTGTGTCTAATTTGTAAATAATCATTTATCCCATAAATACTGGGCATACTTCAAATGCCTGCCAAATTATAATAGTTTAAGAATATAAATCTGTTTGCACCTTCATTTCAGGACTAAGATTATTCATTTGTCATCAGATACCTGCTATTCACAAGAGAGCAGGTTAGGCATTGTGGGAAAATCAGACGTAAACTAGACCTTTTATATCCTCAAGGGTCCTATCGTGCAGTTGGGATTATAAAACCACAAACCTTATAACTGGAGAGCCGTTAGAAAGTAAGATGGAATATTAGCTCGAGGACCTTACAGATTCATTAACATTTAAACAGGTAAAGCACATTAAATTTTGAGGGTTGGTTTTCTGACCTAAAATAAATGCAAGCAGTACTTTTTTCTGTTTTCACATGTCAGGAAGTGAGGTTTCTTATCATTTTATAATGTGCATTCTCCAGTTGTTGTCAAGGTGTAACTGACTATGAATAATCAATAATAATGGCTATAAAGAAATTTCATTGAGTGCTGTTACCTGTCCAGAAAGAAAAGGTTCTTTTAATTAAAAACCGAATATGTTTTTATTTTTCTCACTGAATAAATTCATTTGTACAACTGCAGACTCCATGAGACCACTATGGTATTTCAAAACTCAGGCATATGCCTTTGTCTCCATTCTCAGTGAAAGGGGTCAGACAGCAGGCAGTTAAATGGTCAGGATCACTGTGGGAGAGTTCAGTTGCTAATGTAGGAGAGATTCTTGATACCAGAGGAACTTGAGGGCAGCAGAGAAATGACTTCTGTGCTGTCCTCTTCAGACTATCTTTGTTCTGGGCCCTGTATCTTAATGCCTCTTGCTGCGATACTGGTCCAGACTTACTGTCTTTCTCTCAACCGCCCTGTTTTCTGCCTTATCACCTGCTTGTAGGCAGGAGATTTGACTCAGTGCAGGGGATCAGCATCAAAGTTTGGCTAGAATATGTTTGCAAAACTTAATTACCCTGTGTTAGGAACAATTTATGTCTGATCTGACTGGTAGTTATTGACTGTGTATATTTGTAAATTTATTAAATTGTACTGTTAATATTTGTACATTTCATATACATTATGTCCCAATGAAAAGTATAAATTATAACAATAAAAGGCAACTAGCCCAATCACTAGAGTATTGGCAGTGTTGATTTATCTTGTAGTTTAGTAATGACTTGTGCATTTGAAAATAAATTTTTAGAATTTTAGTGTTAATTCTTCTTAGATTTGTCAATTAGTTAAATAGCCAACACTGGATGATTAATTATAGCAACTCTTTGTACTTCTTCAAAACTACAAACAACTCTATAGAATTGGCCAAAATATGTTTTTGACATTAAAGAAAGGGAAAAAGCTGTTTCTAAAAAAAGGATGAAAATACTTGTTGCCAAGTGATGTTTTTGATTCTTCAAGACTTCTGCTGTTTAAACATCTACAGTTCAAAGATAATTATACATTGAATCATTATTTGAAGCTGTCATATTTACTAACTGTCATCCAGTTTCATATTTTGGATCCAATTGTTAAGCCAGCCCCTAGTACACACACACACACACACACACACACACACACACACACACACACCCATTGCAGCTTCCTTCCTGATGTCTGGTTAGGTTGACATTCAGACTGAATTCTGGTGAGTGAACAGTCACCATGTGATGATGTCAAAGTGAGCAAAAATAGAACTTATGATAAAATCTTTCCTTGCAGCTGTGGTTTTCAAGGTTCAAACATTCAAAGAGGGAAATATTCTTTTAGAAAAAGAGCTTAAAAATCAAATTTGATGCCACTAAATTACAGAATAATCTACCAAGTCCAGAAACTGTACATAATTAAATTTATTTTTTTTATTTTAAAGAGGATAAAACCAAGGAAAATAATATCAATCAAGATAAACTGGTTTCAAAATCTTATGAGATCAGCAATAGTTACCATAATGTCTCTTGTCTTCAAAATAGCTGCAGATACCTTCAGACATAGTAGAAACTGAACCGAACAGAATAGAGCAGAAACAATAAAAACAAAACAATGAATGCAATAAAGGACTTCAAAATAAGCTAATAGTAAATCCAAAATGGCTACTACGATATGTCTTGCTGTCTTTTACATAGCTGCTCATGCCATCAGATTTAACATAATCAAACAAAACTAAACTAAAGAGAATAAAACTCAACCCAAGAAAACAATGAAAATGATATGGTTTCCGGGGACCACCTACTCATGAGGCCTGGTCTCCCCACCCCAACCAGTCCATTAATGATGCTGACTCACAGAGAGAGGCTTGGGTGTGGCTGTCCCCACTCCAGCAGTGGCCTGCACAAATAAATTTGAACTAATCTTCCCAACAAATCCACCCAGGTTTGTCATCTTGGATGAATTTTTTTTGATACTAGGAAGTGTCTCTTAACATTACTGTTATTTAAGATAAACATTTAGCATGGACTCTTTTGTTGGAACAGGACAGCTGGGAAGTGGTAGAAGGACTGAGAGGGGACATGAATTACACCCAAGAGCCTCCTATTCAGAAAGGATTTTTGCTGAAAAAGCGGAAATGGCCCTTAAAAGGTTGGCACAAGGTAAGACACTGGCCTTGGCTTCCCCTTGTGCACCCCTATACTACTACACTTAGGACCGTTTTTTGTGCACTTTTCTTTTATTTGACATTGAAATTTGAGACCAGGGAAGGGATGTTTCAGTGGAACATCTTAATCAATTATACTGTCTTCCCTGCAGAGATTCTTCTACTTGGACAAAGGAATCTTGAAATATGCTAAGAGCCAAACCGATGTAAGTCTTCTGGTTGGTCCAGCATGCTTGCTCCTGGAGGGTTCTGCAGGGGTGCTGGCTACCAGCTCGGGAGAGACTGTGCAGTCAAGGGTCTCAGTGCTCTGAGGGTCAAGTGTTTCCAGGTGAACAGAGAGGTGCTTGCTTCTTGCTGTCTCAGTTCCGGTCGTAGGTGGGCACAGTTCACCTGCCAGGTGGAGAGGCAGAGGCCCCTGTAACACCTCATTGGGTATCCAAGGGTCTGTTCTGGTCTTTGGGTTGTGTTGAAGGGTTCCCTGAGGAGAGAAGTTATCCTTGTAACTAATTAACAAGAGCAAAGCAAAGCACAGTGGCATTCCATGCTTGGGGTGATGGAAGGCCTTGGGGGAGAAGGCCTTGGCTAAGAAGGTATTCTTGGGTCAGGCAGTTGGTTTGTGAGGACTGTGAGTGACTGGTACCCATAGACCTATAGGGGCCTTCTGTCTTCCTTTTCTCTCCTCTTAGCCTCCTATTAAGTCATACCTCAATGAGTTCACACCAGATACTAATTCAGTGGGAGGCAATGCTGTTAGCAGGTTAACTCACAGGAGTCAGTCATGGGGATTGCTGTCTTGTTTCTTCCCACTCTAAATGTCTTGTTACTTAACTCCTCTGCACCTCGGGACGCATGCTTCTTACCTCATAGAGGGCAGAAGTCAGCACGCAGTACTGGCTTGCATGGAGTCCCCCATCCGTCATAGCGTTTGTCTTTACTGTCAGTGGATGTGGAGATGGTGGGCATTAGAGGATGTTTCTACCATCTCTAAACCTGTGGTTCTCAAGTGGCTTCTTCATGGCTCTGCAGATCGAGAGAGAGAAGCTACACGGCTGCATTGACGTGGGGCTGTCAGTGATGTCTGTAAAGAAGTCGTGCAAGTGCATTGACCTTGACACCGAGGAACACATCTACCATCTGAAGGTGAGGCTGCTTCTCAGTGTGCTTCCAGTCTTTCAGATCCCCTTTGGGCTTTTTATTCTTATTTCTGTCTCATTTCTTGTTTGAGATGTAATCTCACTGTGTTACCCAGTGAGCCTCACCTCCCCTCCTGGGCTCAAGCAATCCTCCTGCCACACCCTCCTGAGTAGGTGCAGTGCAGACATGTACCACTGTATTTAGTTGTACAGAGCCCCTTTATGTTGATACTATGCTGTTAGTAATGCCTTTTGAACAGGAAGCCAGCACACAGCTCTTCATCACCAAAGTTTTGCTAATGGACACCAGATACTGGAATGGGGCAGGTCTTCATGGTGCAGGGCTATCTGTCACATTGCTTAAAGGTTTGGCACCTTGTTGCCTGGTTACCCAAGTACCATCCCTCCTCCCCGATGACTGTGAATGGTAACAGAAATATCTTTGTGTTTGCAAATTTCCCAGTACCGTCTTTAGTAAAGAGCCATTTATCATAGGTGAAAATGTGTTCCTGGAAACATAATATCTAGCTTGTAGATACCTATCTTAAGTTTCAGCTAATTTTATAGGGATTTCATGAAAACTCTCATAATGAAGTATTAGGAATTTCCCCCTTAAAACATGTGTCTGCAAATAGTACACCTCAAACCTTTTCACCCTATTTTTCTATGTCTCCTGCTAGTGGTAGAGATAGTTAAAATCATGAAGCATAAGCTCTAGACCTTTTTTAGATCTTGACACAGCTACTTACTAGTTTTTGAACTTTGGTCAGTTATTTAGTTGCTGAAAGTCTCAGTTTTCTCATGGAACAAAGAAAAAGAAAGAAAAGAAAAGAAAGAGAAAGAAAGAAAGAAAGAAAGAAAGAAAGAAAGAAAGAAAGAAAGAAAGAAAGAAAATTATTATAGTGCTCATCTTGTAGAGCTGCAAATAAAGCACTTGGCTTAATGCTGGATCACATAAGCTCAATAAATTTAGTTGCTGTTTATGATTATTAGGTGGCACCTGGATGGTAGAAATAATTGAGAAAATGCTAAGACATTTTACTTACTTGGGAAAATTACTTGGGATTTGGAAAATAGGGGCTGATGGTTTAGACAAAGAAAACATGAGAGAGCCTGTGTAGAGCCTATTTTTGCAGCATGTGTGTGGTGATGATCAACACGGGCCTGATGTGCACATCTGGGGGAGACAGTCAGAAATAGGCTGAGTGTAACCCTGAACACCAGAGTTAGCTCACTATGTAAAGCAAGGTTTCTCAACCTTGGCATCGTGGACCTTGTGAGCTGGATAATTCTCTGCTGTGGGCTGTCCTTGGTGGAGGGACGTCACACAGCACCACTGTCCTCTCTACTCACTGGGTACCGAGAGCATCATATTCTGACAACCAAAAATATCTTGTTACCTATTGGGATAAAATTACTTCTGGTTGCAAATGATAGCTATGATGTAAAAAAGGGAAAAACCTGATATCTTTTTAAAAAATAAAAAAGACTATTAATCCTACCCTCAAGCCATTTTTGATGGCCAGTCTCTTTTAGATTAGGTTATTTTTAATGTATTTCCAATGACTTTTCTTTTTGAGTTTTGACATGGTCAGGAAATAGGTTCTTGTTTATCTATTATTCTAGTTAATGGAATAAGAATCATTATTGATTCCTAATTTTTAACAATTTAGAATGTCTCAAGATAATGCAGTAGTATACAGAGTTTAAATTTCTGTGTGATTCACTTTAAGTTCTTTTTAGTTTCTTGGTGATTCACATGAACGCCTGCTGTGACTGTAGTGTTGGTGGTAAACGTTATCTGAGAGTTCTAATCAGCAGCCTCAGGTCAGGCCCTTCAAGCAGGCCCATTCTTCTGTTTTTATAGATGAGTCTGGGCAACAGAGAGGGTAAGTGACAGTCCATCAGAAGTCCTAGCCCTAGAATTACTAGAGAGGCTGGAACAGAACCTGGGTCAGTTGTTTAATAAAGTGCTTTTCTTTTTCTACCTGTTTAACTCGTAAAATCAGTCAAGATGAATATTTTGAGCACTGACTTTTAAGGGCTTCTGAGAGATCAGTGTTAGGATGACATGAGACTTTGGTAAAATTCCCCATTTGGACAATAAAACACATTTCAGGAACATCATCGTATCTGGAAGAAACAGATAAGTGACTCTGTTTGCTTTGCTTCTTCCTGAAATTGATAAATAGCACCTGGGGGAGTCCCCTGTCTTGGGGGCACTTCTAATCAACAGAAAGGCCAGCCTCAGTTTCTCAATGAAGGGTGCTACTGATGGCTTATTTACACAACCTCATTCTCAGCTGTGAAGATTTTTGTGCATTGGTCTAGAGTTTCCATGTGGGTGGTTAACCTACCAGGCCTCCTTTTGGGTTATTTTAAATGGCAGCTGCATCAGTCTCTGTGTCCTGATATATAGGTGTCTACCATTTTTCACTTTTAAAATGTTAATATGCTCTCATACATACAAAAAATACTTTTAAGAAATACCAGGGGTACATAGGTGCTTGTTGTATCTTTTTAAAAGTATTTTTATGAACAATGTTTTCTTGTAAAACTAATAAACATCTTCATGAAAATTATAAATTGATAGTTACTCAGGGAGAAAATTGCTAAATGTAAATACAGTAATGATGATGGCACTTTATAATCCTTTATTAGATTCCTCTGTTTATGACTAGGAAAAATGTTTTTTTAAATAACCTTCATATTCATTAACATACACTTCTCAATGATGTATTCTTTGACAGAGTACATGAACAAGGTTAAATATTTTAAGAAGAGTTTACTAATTCATTCTAGTGTAGGAAAGATTGATTTGAAAACTCTGAATTATAAAAGAGTTCAGAAAGAAAAATGGTGCTGATGTATGCTTTGCTTCTTCTTATAATTGACAAATAGCACCTGGGGGACTGGAGAATTGGGAAATACTTCATGAGACAAGTTAATATAAATTTCATCTTTTATTGTTTTTATGTAACTGGTACTATTTTCCTTTCTTAAATGTAGCATAACAATTGAACATTCTCAAATAAAACCTAAATTCATACTTCATGAAGACTATTTTTATTCCATATTTTCTTCTGCAGACTTTCCTGTAGGGCACATAAATGTAAAGTAAGTCACTAGAGGCTATTTCTACATTTCTACTTGAGCCAGCTAAAAAGCATTCAGGAACCTCAACTTGATGAATGATTGTTCCTTTCAGCAAGTGACTCTTTTATTTCCTTCTTTCAACTTAACATATATTAGGTGAAGTCAGAAGAAGTCTTTGACGAGTGGGTAGCCAAACTCCGTCACCACAGAATGTATCGTCAGAATGAAATTGCTATGTTTCCACGGGAAGTGAATCACTTTTACACAGGGTCCACCATCACAGATTCTGCGTCTGGGGCATTTGACTCCATTTCCAGTAGGAAGGTAATGAGCGTTTACCAATAATTAATCTAAAAGAAGGGGGTAGCTTTGCAAAAGGGGAGGCCCACTTTGAGAGCTAAGTATGAAGAAAGGTGTGCGAGGAGGAGCTAGGTAGTTGGGCTGAAGTTTAATTTGTCTCACCCACTGAGTCAGAAGCAGGACCAAATGAGCATCTATTAACAGTGAGACCGACAAAATGAAGAGCATATAAAGAACAACTTAGTATCTCTGAATGCTGTGGCTCTCTCTTGACCAGTTTGACTTTGGTTCTCTTACCTGGCTATAAAATATAGCAAGTATGTGTATGGCCATACAGAATTGCAGAATACTTCCAAATGTTTATATCATTTGACAGATAGATAAAGAAATTTAAGGGCTGTCATCTGAAGTATTATAGTATGGCGTGGACAAGCTGGGGTGACAGCCAGAGGTGTTAGGGTCTCCCTATGTGTGCTTTATTAGAACTTCTTCCCATTACAAAGAGAAGGCATTCATTAGTAACTAACCAGCTCTGTTATCTTTTACCCAAATTGTCCCTGCTGATCTGTGTTTTCATTTATAATGTGGTCTCGTTCTCTGTGGAACAGCGTAGCAGTATATCAAAGCAGAATTCATTTCAAACGGGAAGCAATTTATCATTTTCTTGTGGTGGTGAATCTCGAGTTCCATTATGGCTACAGTCTTCAGATGACATGGAAAAATGCTCAAAAGGTAGAGTAACTTGAAATCTTTGCTTTTACTCACATAGTCTGAAATGAACTGGTTGTTCATCTATCTGTCCCTTAGCTGACTTTGTGTCCTTCTCTTCTCTCTCTATCTTCCTTCCATACTTTGCTAATTAAGGTCACACTCAGCAACAGAAGACTCTTTCATTGTAGAGTTTTACATCTTTGCCTGGGTTTGTCTGCAGACAGGCTTCCTTTTCTAGTCTGGAAGTACCTGATTCCTACTCAGGCCCATGAATCAGTCCCTAGGGATGGGAACTGTTTAGCTCTGTTTTCTTAAGCACTAGAGATTATTATGATGTACATCCTGGATTAGGACTCTGTTCTAGAGGGGAATGGCTGACCAAATGGAGAGCTCCACTGTGTATGTGTTCCTTATTCTGGCTTCACATTCAAATTACCACGAGAACCTTTAAAAGGCAGGAGTACTCATGCCAAGGCCTTTTCCCCAGATATCCTCTTTAAGTTGGTCTGAGGTGGGGCCCTGGTTGCATTGATGGTTCCCTGGTTACAACTATGGTTCCCCAGAAGATTTTGCAGAGGATCCAGGGTTGAGCACACTAGCCACAATGAAGCTCAGTGTTCACAAGCTTAATTAGCTAAGACTCATCCAGGAAACTAAAAGAAAGCTCATCAATGGGAATAGAGTGTCTAGGGTAGAATATGGGCATCTGTGGGTTCTTTTAGATTTCTCCACCTGATTTTAAAGTATAGCCATGCCTGAGAACCACCATTAGGGAATGATGCAAGGTGGTAACCTTGAGAATTGCTCTTGTTGCATGCATATATGTCCACTGGAGCCATGTAGCCCTTGCCCTGCCAGTAAATATATTCATGGGCTTTATTGATTGACATCTTGGTGGAGTGGCCCTTGAAGTACTGTATATGGACCAGCAGCATCGGTCCTGCCTGGCGACTTATTAGAAATGCATATTCTGAAGCCCAACTGTGATGTGCTGATTTTGAAACTAGGGTTGGAGCTTAAAGACCTATGACATAAATACTCCAGGTGATTCTGGTGATACGAATGTTTAAAGCCATCATCCTAAGGCCTTTGGGTCTTGATTCCTCAGGAGAAGAATCCATCAACAGCTAGTGAGTCACCAATTGTGGGCTGTCTTTTGGTTAGTAACTAGGGCTGTGAGCTTGCTCTTCAATTATCTCCAGGTCCATCTGCAGAGGCTCATCACAGTCCACATACAGGTCCATGGTGCACCTTCATTTCAGTTTTATCTTTTTGTTCTTGCAAGTGGGTAGCAACAGTCTGCTGTTGCTGGATTAGGAAGAACAGTGCCACTGCTACTGTTGATAATGATGTCATGGCTGATTTATGGAGTTCTTACAGCAGTCCAGACACTTTTCTAAGTGCTCTTCACATATCAATTCATTTAATTCTCTTAACTCAGTGAGCTAGCTATGTAGTTATCTCTTTCCAGAATGGAGAAGTTACATCTTTTACTCTAGAGTTCATTGAGTAGATTCATACAAAGGCATCCTAGTTATCCAGATCCGTTATCTTAACCCTCACAGTCTGTAGACATTCTTGTAAAACAAAGCAAAATTTCCTGCCTCTTCAGATGGAAAGTGAAATGTAGAAAAAGAAAAAAAAAGTCACTGCTGCCAACATAATGATCCCTCTTGCTATGGAAAATTGTGAGCCTTCTCTTCTTTCTCCCACAGACCTGTCACACTGTCATGCCTATCTGGTGGAGATGAGCCAACTCCTGCAGAACATGGATGTCCTGCATCGGACGTACTCAGCGCCAGCCATCAATGCCATACAGGTTCGCCTGACCCTGTTCTGTTCACCTTCTGGCTTCTGCTTTTCTTTCTCCTGCCAGCCTTTGACTAACAGTGGGATGTTGTCTGGCCATTTGCTTCAGCCAAACTCGAGGGGATTGAAGTGGTCACTTTGCTATGCATTTATCCTTGTGGTTTGGTGGACCTTATTGTCTGTGCTCTCTTTCCTGTTTTGAAAAAAAGGGTGGAGCTTTTGAAAGTCCCAAAAAGGAAAAAAGATCGCACAGGAGGTGGCGGTCCAGAGCTATTGGCAAAGATACTAAAGGAACACTCCAGGTAACCATTGCTTCCACCTGTAACAAACTGCTTTTCTCCTTGGCTTTGCTCTGCATGCCACATGCTAGGAGCTTCTTTGATTCAAATAGAACAGATAAGTGCATGCCCTGGAGTTGTTCTCTCCGATACCCTATGCAAGGGGAGGAGTTCAATCACTTAGATCATCTGGATATAAATATAAGGTTCTAATGGACACTGAGGAAGAGAAAGAATGTTTTCTAAAGAAAATGTCATGGAGTTAGAGGAATTACCACCATTTCTAGGGCTTTCAGCTTCCCATTCTTTAATGTTTAGCCTGCCTTCCCTCTTCCCTGCTTGAGTGTGTTCCTTGTTTGTGACTGTGAGACCCAGTGTTCTGACCCCCTACCCTGCCGAAGCTCAATGGATTTATCATCCATCCCTCTGAGCCCATAGACCTAAGTCTCTGGGCATGACACACTATGTAGACTCTCTTGCTGTTTTCCTCCAAACTCCCATTTTCCCACCAGAGGCTCACTGTGTCAAGCTAGAAGCTCCCTTTCCCAAGCACAGTGAAACCACAGGCCAAGATTTACAGAATGCACATTAAATTGCAACACTGTTAAAATCAAAGTTGGTTCCTAGCTTTTGAAAAGTCAACTGACATAGTCTTGCATATACTTTGGCCAAAGCACTTTATGGGCTAAACTCAACTACTTGTAAAATAAAGAATTTCCCAAGTACAAATGTGAGTACTTAGATAGCTTTGTAGAAGCCCCACATGCACATAAAGAAAAGTGTTTTTTAACCTACTATCGCTAACAGCTTAGTTACTGGGTGATGATTGCCAGAAGAAAGGATGAGTGTACGTGAGAAAGTCCAGAAGTGTTAGCTGTCATTTTCCCTATCGCTTTAATACCATCATTTTCAAAAGAATATGTGATTTCTCACCCATTTTTATCTCATAAGAAGCAAGTTTTTGTGGAAAATATTTTCCTGAGTTTTTATTTATTTTTCTTCTGCCATTCAGTAGGAAGACTCATAAAATGGTCTTCTTTAGTAAGTTCCAATCTTAGAATCAAGTAAATATTGTGAACAATCTATATCTAAATAGAAATCTCCCTCTCTGGTGTTGATTTAGGTCCCTAAACCTTTCTCTGGCCCTGTAAGACTACATTCCTCCAATCCTAATTTGTCAACACTAGATTTTGGAGAAGAGAAAAATTATTCTGATGGCTCTGAAACCTCATCAGAATTTTCTAAAATGCAAGAAGACCTGTGTCATATTGCTCATAAAGGTAAATGGTTTTCTTTCTTCTTCCTGATGTTTGATAAAATGTACATTGCATGCTTGAATTTGAGATGACCTTGGAGAAAATGGCTTAATTGGTTCATTTTCTGTTCTATTAAAGGTTTAAGAAAACTAATTTTTATTTATTTCCCTGGTAGCAGAGATATATGGGTTTTCTTCTTAACATCTTAGGGAAACAGTAAGACTGTGCTACACAGTTCTCAGAACCCTTGGATCCATCCAGTTGCAGATTAAAACTTTTTAAGTAAACTGTATCTGTACTGAACATACATATACTTTTTTCTTGTTATTTTTAGACAATTCAGCATAATAACTACACAGCATTTACATTTTATTAGTTATTGTAAATAATCTATATCTTACTTAAAACATATGGAAGAAAGTAATACTGAATGATAACTGTACTTTAAAGGCTGAACAATTTATTTGATGATAGTGGGAACATAAATTGACATTTTTCTGCAGAGCAATATGACATTATATTCTAACTATTTTTAATCTGCCTACCCAGAGTTTTTACTTTGAAGCATCTATTTGTAAAAATTAATTTAAAACTTATCCAAACAAATATATCCATTGTTCATTATTCCAAAAATTAGACTTGGTATTCAATATCATTAGCTATTTTGGAAATGCAAGTTTATCATTAGATACCTATTAGACCTAAACCTAAAAAAAAAAGGTACCAGATGCTGGTGAGGATATACAGAAACTGAATCTGTCATACATTGCTGGTGACCGTATAAAATGATGTAGCAGTCTGGAAAGTAATTTGGCAGTATTGTGTCAAACTAAGTATGTACTTAGCGTAGAGCCCAACACACTACTATGTGCCTTAGAGAAGTGAAATGTGTCCATGCAAAAGCCTCTTCACAAATGTTTAGAGCGAGTTTATTTGTATCAACTGAAGAATTAGAAACAGTTCACTGTCCTTCTACAGATAAATGGTTAAACAGCCTGTGTTTATTAATGCTATTAGTCAGCAATAAAATGAGACAAACCGTTGTTATATGTAACGACATGAATGTGTCTTGAGGACACTATATTGAGTGAAAATAACCAACCTATAATATTCAGACAGTATGTGTTTCCACTTACCACTCTGGAAATGGTTCATAGAGGGAGGGAATTTGGTGGGTACCTGAGGTTAGACAAGGAAAAAGGAAACAGGAAGAATGTGGGTGTGATCATAAAGAGACTTTGGTGGTGACGAGAAGTTTTATATCCTGATTGTGGTGCTGGTCACAAGAATCTACACGTGTGGTGATTGTACTGACATCCCTAGCTACACGTTCCATACGTGAGTGTGGTGAAATCGTGTCCTGGTTTTTATACTGTATACTGCTATGCAGACTATTACCATGTGGAGAAAGTAGGCCTAGGGATAGGTCTATGAACATTTTTTATACTTGTTTTGGATTTTTTCTTGTTTTATTTTGAGATAGGGTCTTGTGATGTAGTCCATGCCAACTTGAAAATCTGAACACCAATTTTTAGGCCTCTTGCTTTAGCTTCCTGAGAGCAAGGGGTAGAGACTGGCAATCCCACTCCCAGCTTTTGTAATGCTTTCGCAGTTTCCTATGAGTGTATAGCAATTCCAAAATGAGAGTCAGAAATAACCTATTTGTCTAAGAAAAAGGGTTGTAGTTTTTTTAAATGCAGTATAATCATGTCATAGAATACTCAGCATAATAATAATAGCTACCTCATACTGAACAAACAGCCATCATGTCAGGTATTGTTAAGTACTCTGTATGCATTGTTTCATTTAATTCTAGCAGAAACTCCTAGGGTAGATAATATTGTAATCTGTTTCATATATAAAAAGTGAGGTTTTGGGACGCAGGAGGACTTAAGGGCCATGTGGTTCCAGAGCAGCTAGCCTGAGACTGAGTACTGATCTGCTCGACTCCAGGGGCCACCCTTCTTCCTTGCTATTACATTGCCCTTATAGAGAAGGTGGCCAGGATTCTTATTTATGGATATAGAAAACATCACATTGAGTAGAATGTAAGGTTTAAAGTTATATAGGTATAATCCCATATTTTGGGAAAAATAAATACACTCCTGGTATATATAGGCATACTAAAAAGTCTAGGAACATGTACACCAATATTGTAGTGATGGAGGCTGGAGCTGTCAGTACTTACCATCTTTGTTTAACTTTTAAAAACTTTTATATGTTACTTTTCTTAAAGAGGAAGTGAATAAAAAGTTGTTTAAGTGGGAGAGTAGTGCTTGAGGTGGGAGGAAAGATGATATTCCCACTACTGTCTTCTTTTCCTCTTGCCATATTTTGCTTCCTTCCTATTATTGATTCCTTTAGTTCTCTCTTCCCTTAGCAGGCAAATCTAAAGCATGTTGGTTATGAGATTGGTTATGAGGAAAGTATTTCATGGTTTGTACAGATTTCTGCCCCTCACTTTTATCTTAGTCACCATTAGAATTTCTCAGTGGTTTGGAACTCTGTAGTGTAATTGTGTGTTTAATGAGAGACACTACCTGGCCCATCCCTTGAAAACTCTTGAAATACCCCTTTGGGTATTCTTTAGTGTTCAAAGAACCACTTGCAATTAGAGCATTTTAGGTTTTAGAAGAAGACATTGCTATAAAACTCCATTACTTTTTAATAATATGCACTTTTAAAAAAAATCAGTGAGAAGACAGTGCCGCCCTGCCAAAGGGAGAAGCACTGGCTTTCCCCCACATTGCAGAAGCTGCTTTGTGAGTGGGGCAGTGGTTGCCTATTGAATGGACTCAGCACTCTATTCTTCCTACAGAGATTTCTACCTCGCCAAATGTCTTTAATGAGCTCCCAGCCACCTCCTCTGTCTTTGGAGGTCTGTGAAATCAGCTGGTTACAGCACTGCCACATATCTGAGTGAGACCAAGGTCAGTGCTTCAAGGAAGGCTCAAGTGAGCTTGTTTATACAAGAGCAGACTGAGCTCCCTGGGCTTACAGACAGTGACTTCCACAGGGAGCCTGAGGAGCTGTGTTGGGCTTCTGATGCATTTAAATTCCTCTTGCAGTCACTGAAAGAGCTCCCTGTCACCCCTTCAAGAAGTCTGTCTTACACAGACACTATTCCACAGGGCCTCTGTTACACAGGGGCCCTGTGGAATAATGAGAGCTTTCAGAGGTTTGCCCACGTCTGATGACCTTGTGTGATTTCACACTGGCACACTTGGAATGCAAAGCATTTTGACCTTTCCTCTTGTGTAAGCCTGGCTTTGTTACTGGCAGTGCCTAAGGTACTGTTTTGACTGATCACTATTCTGTTGACTATAATTTTAAAGCAGCTGAGCTAAAGGCAAGAACTCCATTGATGTAATATGTTCTGTGTGACTTTAAAATTGTTATATGCACCTGAATTGTCTTCATTTTGCAGATCAAGTGGTAAGCAACCAACATATAGCTATGCTAATTTTAAAAATACTTGTTCTATATGATAGAACTTTATTTTTATGGCCAAATTGAACTGATTCTCATGGTTCATGTTTCTGGCTTTGTGTGTGTGTGTGTTGACATTCATGTAAACAAACAGAACAAAATATACTAACCCTCAAAGTCATAAATAATTTCTATTTTATGTATTAGCTTTTGAATTTCCCAAAATGTATTTTATAGAGCAGTTCATCCATAAAATACCTAAAAATCAAAATAAGAATTTCATGTTTAAAAATGTTTGGGAAACACTTCTGGCTGTGGTTCCTTTTGGATTTATGCAAGGGATTGTAGACAGTAACATCCCTGAGAAGCCCCATAGCAGGTAAACCTGTTAGCTAAACTCACTTGAGTGAGTTTTCAGTGTTGGGAAGCTTCCCACTACCTCCTACCCCCACCAGCTAGTAACATCTAGGACTAAAGTCCCCAGGGAACATTGTAAATAATAAGTCTTCTTTGGAGCCAACCCCTCTGGTACTGACTTGCTAGGACCTTGACTTCTCTGACCAACCCTGTAGCCGTCAGTTGCCTTCTCTGTTACATGTCCTAAACTGTCTGTCCTGACTCCTTTGGTTCTCAAATTCTGCCATTATCTTCTGTGATTGTTTTACACTAAACAGAGAAAATTTGTACTGTGGCTTATTGTTGCGAGAGGACATTCCCTATTAGTAGCAGAAATAGAATGACCAATGCTGGTGAGCAGATTTAGGGTGGGGAAGCCATAGGATGGGAGCAGCATCAGGGACGCAAGTGATCAACATCGCCTTGAGGGGAAACAAATGAGGCTTTAGAGAATACTTTATAAATAGGTGAGGGGAACATTATTTGTAAATATAAAAGCTAAAAGTAGAATAAAATCAAATCCTATGTTAACTTACTTTGTTCCTGGACTCTTTTTCTTGAGTTATAATGTTGAGTGGTCATTTTCTAAACTGTTTTGAGCTGATAGAAGCACTGAACCAAAAGCCAATTATGTCACAATGATATCATTTTCATATACTAAAAATTAAAAGACATGTGACCTAAGGGAAAGGCACATCATGTATTTTTCATAAGTTACAATTCAGTATAAGTGTGCTGAGCAATAAAGCTGATATACATTATCAATGAATAAGTAAGAACATTTAGTACAATTACCTAATATATCTGAAGAAATTTGGATAGTAGATGGGTTCAGAATATTTTAAAATCAGGGTATTTGGTAAAGTTTGAAACTCAAAGGAGGCAGATTACATAAAAGTCACATCATCCCAGATATTTTAGGTATGTTAACATTGCAAAAATAATTTATACAGATATAATTTCCATTAAAAAAGAAGGAAAAAATGAGTCCAGTATGTGCAGTGCTACAAAGTAGTAAGTTTTCTTATTTTTTCCGTAAAGCACTAAGATGCAGGCATCATTCATACACAAATGTAGAAACCTACATTCCCAGTGTAAATAGCAACTAAGCAATAGAGGCAGGACTTAAGTTCATAATTGCCTTATTACAGGGTGACTTTCTTGATGCCACACAGTCTTTGGAGAAGTGGCACTCAAGACATTCATAACTACCTTCCTCAAGCTCTTATTCCTTCTCGATGCTGAGAATCGTGTTCTGCTATCTAAACATGTTGTGTATTCATCCTAACTCAATACAAGTAGAACATGGGAACGGCAGGAAAGCCAGTGATCATCAAGAGTTAGTTGTGTGTTTTTGTTTTTTCATTCTGTGGGTACAGCTTAGTGGTTTTTAAACTCAAAAGCTCACCGTTTGCAGGGGCATCTAAGAAACAGCTAGTAACAGTCTGGGAAAGATGAGTAAATAGAGATCCCATAATTACCTTCTCACATTTGAAGGCAGAAAGAGAAACTAGGGGATAGCCAGAAAATGGAAACCTGTGGATGAAATGACACTTTGGGGTGATATTGGAGATGTAGAAGAGTTGGTCAAGCTTTGGGGAAGGTGGTTTTGACAGTCTTTTAGGTTCTTCACAGTTCTATGCATCCCAGACTTTTTGACTTTATGTAGAATCCATGCATATAGTAGTATTGTCATTTGGATTTTCTGTTTTTAAAACTTTTTTGTCTCTGAAAAACTTAGAATCAAGATAGAAATAAGTAAGATAACTGTCACAAAAAATATTCCTGAACTTTGGGATCCTGTGTGCTTAACAATTAATATAAATGTGATCCATAAACAACCTCTTGTCACCATTGTGGATGTGCTGGGTCCTTAGGGGGCTGTGAATGATTACTTTAATGTCATCTGAGTGGCCCTGAACTGTCATTTGAGGAATTTAATGCAAAACAAAGTGATCTTCTGAACCACATTGTCAGATGATTACGGAAGAGTTTTGGCACCGTACCATAAAGTAATGACTATATATTTGTTTATTTTACCCTCACCAGTCTTAGCTGTACATTTTGAATCAAATTGGGTAAATTTTGCCAATTTACAAAGTTTAAGTAGTAATCTTCTAGTCTGGCTGAAAGCCTTGCCTTACCGCATGGAATTTGAAAGCCAGAGGAATCAATTAAGTAACTGGTAGCCAGCTGAGAGCCATGTTTATTTTATTTGGAGGAATAAATGTGATGGTACAGAGGTAGTTCCCCAGGGAGCCACGGAGCTGGCTGTGGGTATCCTGTGTGGAGGGCACATTTCCAACGGGACATGAAATGCAGTAGGCTCACTGCAGGATCATTGCTTTCTTCCCAAAGAAGCTCTTCTGTGGCTCAGCAGACTGTAGCCAGTCCCTCATTCGCAGACTCTTTCCTGTGTAGTTATTTACAAGTCCTTTTTGTTTCTTGTCTTGGCAAGAGACGAAGGCATCCTTCTACAGCTGCTGCCAATTTCAAGGGATTTCAGTCACCATCACTTTCATCCTCACATATCTCCCTCATCATCATCACTGTTAATATTGCAGTAAAATTAAATACTCATTACAGGCCATGCATTGGGGTAAGTGCTTTACCTGCACCATCTTTCTTAATCCTTATAACAATCTACAGATTAAGTGCTGTAAAGAAACTAGGATTCAGGCATTTGTGTACTCGTCTAGGGTCACAGAGTAAATAAGTGATGGACCCTTTTTTTCTCTTGACAGAAGCAATATTAGTGTGTGTGTGTGTGTGTGTGTGTGTGTGTGTGTGTACAAACAACTTATTTGTGCTATGACTTTGTGAAGATGCTCTAAATACATTACTAATTGCCACAATCTCAATCAAGTTCAGTGACAACATATAGAGAGGTTCAGTTGTCCTCCCTGAAGGAAGTAAGTCAATGCTGCATATTTAGTTTCTGTGTCACTAAAAGGGTCACTCCTGGATAACAATATCTCTGCAAATAGAAGCCTCTGGAATTCAGTAATACACCGGGTCATTTGAGAAGATATCTTGGTCACTTCCCTCCTTCTGCCCTTCTGAAGCAGAAGGGAGATTGAAAAATAATATTCACGTGTGACATCCACAAGCATTACTTTCTCATGCCTTAGAAGTAACTTATATACAGTGTTATGTGATCAAAACTGGACAGATTTTTCCTCACCTGTGTGAATGTTGTTTTAAAGCTTCAGTTTCCGGTGTGTGAGTGCCTAGAGACTAAGCTCTCACTGGATCTGTGTGCTCAGTAAAGTGAGCAGAGTAGCTGAAGGCCAACACTGGAGGTGGGGGATTCTGTCCTGCAGATGGGAGGGTTAACAATGAAGAGGGGAGCAACACCTGATTTGGAAAGTTTCAAACGTACATAAAAGTTGTGAGAATACTACAGAGTTCCCATATATCCTTTATCCAGTTCACCATTTTTATTATTTTGCCTTATCACCATCTTATCCACACACTCATGTGAGTGCACATGTGCACACACAAACACTTTATTTTTTCACTTGAAAGTAGGAATCACACATCCTATAGTCTTCCTGGCTTTACATTTTATGGCAGTATATATTTCTTGAAAATAGATATAACCTGTTACATGATCACGATATAGTTATCTAATTTAGAAAATGTGGTATTGAAACGTTTTATCTCCCCTTCTAATGACACTTCCTTAAGAATATCTTTTAATACCAGGATCTAGTCCATGGTCATATATTGCACTTCATTTTTTTCTGCCTCTTTAGCCACTCGTAATTGGGAACAGTTCCTAAGCCTTTCTTCCTTTATAAAATTAATACTTTTGAAGACTACAGGCCATTTTTAAAAACAGGATGTTTGGTTGTCTGTTGTTTCCTCATGATCAAATCCAGATGTCCATGCCTGGCTGGCATTCAGTGAGGAAGATAGTGTCTTTTTCCAGGGAATTGAACCCAGAGGCACAGCATCCACCTGCCTCTCAATTATAATTAATTTTGATTAGCTGGTTAAGGAGCTATCTTGTTTTTCTGTGGTGTTACCACTTTGCCTCTAATATCCAGTAAGCCTTGTTCTTAACTACATACTGTCTTGGGAATCAAACACAACTAAACGCTAACAATTGAGAATCCCATACAACATAAAATCATGGGATATTATGGTGGGAAGGGCTCTTAGAATTGGCAAGTATGTGTATGTATATAAATTTTAATAGACTTCAAAAGCACCTCAAGGTCCCCATCAAAACTGAGCAGAAAGTAAACACCCTGACTTCTAGGCACAGCTTCCACACCAAAGTGGTCCGCATTCAACTGAGGAACCAGCACTAAAATGTCATTATCGTCCAGAGCTTGTAGTTTATATTCTGATCCACCCAATGTTGTGTATCACATGTGTTTTTAAAAAATCAATGTAGAATACCTATTGGCTGAGCTCAGAATATTTGGGGCTGTTACTTTGTTAAATTCTTTCATGAGAAATAGTTTTCTGTATTTTGTTTTCATTGTACCTCATCTTTCAGTCCCACTTACAATGATTATATCTTTATAGTTTACTTCACTTTAAGGTCGGCTTTTAATACCATATCAACAGAGAGAGAGAGACTGAAACAACTGATGGAACAGGATGCCTCCTCCTCCCCTTCTGCTCAGGCCATTGGTCTGAAGCATGCTCTGTCATCCGTAAGTTATGTGTCTGTGCTGGAGAAATGACTGCAAATGTGTTCACTGCTTATCTTTTCCATTTCCATGATTTTCAAGGTTGTGTTGAAAATTAAAGAGAAAATGAACTATCCAAATTATATTCTAAACTTTCATCAGATTTGCTTGTTCTAAATAAGAAAAGTTAGCCTACCCCAAGTTTTAATATTTTATTAAGTGTCAGATTCTTTGAGTTTGGTTTCCTCCAATTTATCTGAAGTTTTCTGTTTCTTCACTGTATGTCTGCATGTGCCCTGAGACATGTGTTTGTTAATGCTTACTAAATCTGACAGTCTGCCAGAGATTTTAGACGTGGAAGACTACACACTTTAGATTGACACAGCAAATGACATATGGCAGAGAGAAATCCCAATTTACCCTCTTATCTTTTTTCCTGCAAAGCCCTGATCCTTTTTAACTACCCTTTCAAAAACATGGAAGTTATTTTATTTTATTTTATTTTATTTTATAGCACAAAATAGCTTTTTGCCCCTGTGGGCACAAAGAGATGCTTCATACAGAAGCTTCTGTCAGGTAACCATTGTGCCTTCTCAACAACACAGAAACCACTGTTAGGGCCTCAGATGTTTTTCCTAAACCATCCTGTCACTCACTCACCCATCTTTTGTTCAGTTCATTCCTCAGAATTGTCACTAGTCACACTGTGTGATTAATGTCTCATGTCCTAACCCTGTCTACACAGCTGCCATTGTCTGGAAATTCATGCTTTATCTAGAAAGAAGCTAGAAGCTTTTGAAATAGCATGCTTGTTTTGCCTTTGCTCTTTGCTGGAATTCTGATTTTTCTGTGTGTAAAATGTGCACATATGAAACTACCCTCTGAAGAAGTACTGAATTTTTTATTTTAGGTCAGGTAAGGGAGATGAATTTTAGAATCTTGTTACCAGAAGCCACTATGGGCATGAAAATGTCTATATTTTTACACATCATGTTTCTAATAGAAGTCATGCTTGTGATATAATATTAATGGCATATACTTTACAATTTTTAAAGTATATTCACTCAGTTGACAACTTGAAGTATATTGTTTTTGAAAGAAAAAGTGAAAACATTGGCTTCCCTCATATGTAGATGTCAGAGATAGACAAACACCCTTTTGGATTGTAGTAAAGAACCAGCCATACTGAGTTGCTACTTAGCAAAGTGGTTTTTTGTTTTTCTCTCAGTGGAACAACAGTCGTTATATCCACTAGGGTAGCTTCCAGTGTGTTTGGGAGGTTCCTCTGACGGGCTCTGCAAAGTTCTTCCTCATGCTTTCCCTCTCCCTGCCCCATGCTGCTCACAGAGATCCGGCCTCATCTCATTAGCCTGCTCGTGGCCATGGAGACTCATCTGGCAATGGTATCTTGTTCCAAAGTGGTCTTCATCTTTGCTATAAGGAATTCACTCTCACTCACGTTCATGATTTTAGAAACTTAAAGCAGAAGGATCTTTTCTTTTCTTTTCAGTTTGGATTCCTGATTCAGACCAAGCTTTGTTTCTTTAAAAATAAATTTTTAGGATCATCTCAGAGCTGTCAGAATGGATATACTGGGGCTGGGTGTTAACATCTTGGTGTGTTTCTTTCTTATTTCTACCTGAGACTTACAAAAGAACCTTCTGAAAAAACAGTTCATAGTCTGGGCTGAGATCCTAGCTATGTACTAGTGAGATAGTGGCCAGGAGGAGATGAGTGCCCCAAAGAGAGTGGTGTATGTGACTGTATGGATTTAGTGTTTCGTACATGATCCTCAAGACTTTTTGAATAACCTGATACCTTCCATGGCAGAATTCAGGCCAGATGATCCAGGCACAGGGTAAGGCAGTACCATGTCCCTCTGGGCTCTCAGAAGGCAGGCCCCGCGGACTCTTAAGGATGGGAAAGCCTCTGAGCTTCTTAGAAGAGTGTCAGGAAGGCAGACAGGATGCATCCACATTAAATTACCTCTGAAACAGATTGCTGGAGTGTTTGGGAGGTGATCAAGAGAGCGTGTCCCCTTCCAAAGCCAGACCGTTTGGAGGAGAATTGGTCATGCAGGGCAAAGAAATATCAGCAGGAAGGCAATGCCTTCCATTAGCTTTGATCAAGTTTGTCCTAGTTAAGAGGTGAGGCCTGCTCCGGGGGCAGTAAGAGGTCTGGTTGGTCTCGGATATGCTCACAGTGCACATCCCCCATTCCCAAGGCCACTATCTTTAAGCCCTTATGCAAGTGAGATAGGCTTATTTAAAAAAGAAAAGAAAAGAAATTGTCTTAGTCCTAAAGTATAATCAACACCTGTATTGGAAAAGACTAAAATTAACCTTCCACAAAGTTCTTCTTCCCTGCGCCCTTCCTAAGATCCAGTTTAGCTGATGTAATAATAAAATTACATTTAAATAGTTTTTTTTAAAATAGGTTTGATCACAAGGTGGGAGCAGCATCTTTTCAAGAATGAGTGAATTTTTGCTTGAGAGGGTGGCCGACCAAGGAAACCAAAGACCTTGGTCGGGAGAGGGAGATGATATGGGGCCACTAATGTTAATGATGCTGGTGGTGTCTGTGACTTTCTTCTGTCACCCTTACCAACCCTCTTACTGATAGAGATGAGATTAGCAATACAGCATTATTTCCAGAGTCTCCTGTGTGTTATCTCCTTGGGTCTCAGATGTGCCTCCAGCTGGAGAGCAACCTCAGAAGTACCCCTTGGGCCTCCAACACCAGAGCTTTCTCAGCTCTCAGAGTGCTCTTTTGCCAGGCCCCCCTGCTGTTCTCCCTTGAAACATCCACTTATTAACAGAGCACCACTATTTTTAACATGTTCCAGGCCATAGCACAAAACACAGATCTTAAAGAGCGCTTACGCAGAATCCATGCCGAATCTCTGCTCCTCGACCCGCCTGCTATTGCCAAGTTGGGTGACAATCTGGCAGAGGTGGGTAGGTTTCTCATCTGGTAACATCTCCGTGACTGCCACTGCCTCCCGTGGTGTCCTCTGTTCAATTGCATGGTCTCCCTGCTTCACCTTCCTGAGTGGTGTTTGCTTTCCACTGCTTCCTCTGGGTGCTGGGCACAGCTGGGTGTTGCCACAGCTGCTGCATGGAGTGGGCTGTCAGTATTTAAAATGCTTTTAAGAGATTATGTGGTATGCACAGCTTTAAGCTGCTTTTTTTCTTTAGCTTCTTTCTTTTGTATGTCTTTACCTTCTTCTCTGCATTTACTCCTTTTACTAGATATTACTGGAGTGGGGACCATAGAGAGAGGCATCATTTTCTCTTGTTATTTCTTGAGAAACCTGAATTTTGATGACCTATCATATCCTGTTCCTTTCCCGCTTTTTTTGCTCACTCCATAAAAATTGTGTCACTCTTTAGTTTTCTTCTTACAGAATACAGTGTTACATTTTGAAGGGGGAAAATGTTGCATTACAATTGAAATCTCTTGATCAATAAACTCTACCAGGTCCAAACTGTTGCCTGCAGAATGTAACACCTTACTATTCCTTATGGTGGTCTTCTTTTTGGCCTGGACCAAAGCATAGTTTAGCAGGCTCTCTTTTGAATCTGCATACTCACATAAACCAGGGCACAGTCTAGTCATGACCGGCCATCAGATCACTTTGCTGCCAAATATCATGGCACTCTCTGGTTACATTCATATTTCCAGATAGTACTTCCTTCATACATTGTATATACTATAAATTACATTGATGCATTTAATGAGTATTTAGGTAACTTTTATTTATGCCTTTGTGAGTTTGTGCTCCATGTGTATACTTTGGCCCATTTGTATTTTGGGATAAAACCCAAAATCCCAGGTATTTAAAAATGGATATTTTTAGGCTGATCTCAAAATTAATATACCAGACAGCTTAAATGGTGTAAATTGTCCTTGCAGAGTAACAACCTCAAAATCACACCTTCCAAAACAACCTTCTTGAGTCTCTAATCATGTCTCATTTACTTCCTCTTCCAGACATTTTTCTGTTCCCATAATTTATCCTCTTTTTTCTCTGAGTGACTCAGGCAACTTTCCCAGTAAGGCAAAAGCCATTGTTGTCTTCCAGAAATAAGTACAAAAGTGGAAATGGCCATCCAGACTGAAAATTTAAGTCCAGTTAGTTTTCATAGATAACTCTCAGGCACCTGAAATACTACTACTGGGAAATGGCAGCCCCTCAATAGTTGAGTTAGCCTAGGGGTTCTGTGTTTAGGACCTTACACTGTCTTTGTTACTTTCTGTTCCTTTTATCTGTACAGATTACCCATCTTTGATGTTGGATTTGGAGACCTGAATTCCAAAATCGTTCTTTTTCTGTCTAGATTTCTCACACAACCTATCAGTCTTTCCGTTTCATATTCCCAAATGTGAAAATTTAATATTATTAGGTGATCTATGTTTTCTACTATTTTACATTATTTTATATTTTATATTAGATTCCACACAGAAGGCCAGGTGACTTTTGGAGTTAACATCCTTCTACATCTAAAATTAATTTAAGAGACTAAGATGGCAAAACTTTTTTAAGGGTATAAGAGGAAAAAGGAAACTTAATTCTCTTAATTGCCTACTTGCTTGCTGCATTCTTAACATTGGAATGCATTGTCACAAGCTCCTAACCTTCACCTTGTGAAATTAGTGATAGTACTTTCATCTTAGGAAAAAGAAAAGTAAAGGCCAGAGTGGTTAAATAACTAACTCTCCCAGACATACAACTTACAAGAGAGAAAGCTGAGATTTAAATTCTTATTAGTGAGGCCAAAGTGTGTGTTTTCTCATGTGCTGCCTAGTGGTATATAAGGAGGAAAGACTTGCTGAGCCAGAAAATAAGTCACTGAACTTCCACTAGTTAAAATAAGGTGGGGATGCCATAAAAATGAGGAAGTATAACTGTATGAGACATAAACACCATTTTATATACAAAAGAAACAAGTACATAGATGAGAACAGCATCAAAAACCAATGGGAAAGAAATGGATTCTTCAATAAATTAGATGAGTGCAGCTCAAAACAATTTAGAGAAAAGTTTAAAAATCATGGGGGCTGGAGGTTTAGCTCAGTGGCATAAGCACCTGCTTTGCAAGCAGGCAGTCGTGAGTTCAATCCCTGGTACCGATAAAAAGGAAAAAGACAAAAAAAAAAAAATCATTCCATTGTGAATCATCACTCAATATGAGTTAAATACACAAAAGCACAGACTAAACTAAATATCAAATATTTTTTAAAGCTCCTAAAGTAGAGAGAATTTCCTAAATTGGACAGCAACAAAAAAATTACTTAAAAAATATTGACTAAATCTGATTGTTATTTTAGGGGGAAAATGGTGTGCATCAAAAACTGAAGCAAATCATAAACTAAGAAAAATATTGTCATTGAAAACAACAAGCTTAGATAATGCAAAATTAGTGGCAATGTTTTTAGAATTTAAGCAATAAACAAATGATGTAAGACCTCACCAAGTAAAAGGAAAACATATAATTTACCCATGCAGATAATTGTGGGACTTTGTTTTTGATTTCTTATTTTTCCACTCATTCCATGCATCATTTTAGCCAGTAAGATATGTTTTCGGTAATACTTCATTGTCATATGACATATAATGTGTGTCTACAAAGCTAGATAGTATAATTATAATCTGCCATGCATCTAGGCTAAGTGGAACACACACCTAAGCTATGTCCTGTAACCTATTTTTACAGTGTTTTATAGTTTTGTTTTTATTTTTATACTTTCTGATAAAAATTAAGACACGCACATGTTAAGTTAGACCTACACAGAGTCAAGATTATCATTAGCACTGTCTTTCATGCTTGCATCTTGTCCACTAGACAGTCCTCAGGGGCCAAAAAAAAAAAAAAAAAAAAAAATGAATTTCACCTCCTGTGACAATAGTGCTTTTTCTGAATCTCTTAGCACATCACTGTTTCATAGTTGATTACTAACTTTTAGTGTAGAAGAGGACTACACTCTAAAATAATGATATAGGACATACATGACTCAGTAACATAATCATATACTATTGTTATTAGGCATTATATTCTATATGTGATTATATGTGGCTGTACTTTTATATGACTGGCATTATATAGGTTTGTTTGTACCAGCATTACCACAGACATGAGTCAGACCTTTTACTGTGTCATTTTTTTTTTTTTTTACATCTGTGACATCAGTAAGGGATGAGAATTTTTCAGATCTTTTGTTACACTTTTATGGGACCCTTTGACAGAAATATCGTTATATGATACATAATATACTTACAAATTCACAGGAAGGTACAAGGCAATGCAAAGGGAAGTCCCATGTCTCCCTCCCCAACTTCTCTCAACATTCCAACTCTGTGGTTTGTTTTATAAAAAAGAAAGAATTATTCAGCCTAATAAAAATTAAAACAATTAGGTCAGCAAAAAAGTTCCTTTAAATTATGGTATTCATTGCCCTTAATAAAAGGATGTAAAGAAAATACTTTTCTTGTTAATGTAATTAGCATTAATATATAGTGATATATTAATATAATTATATGTGACCTAAAACATTTTTAATAATTCTCCTTCTGAAAATTAACCCTAAGAAATAACATGATACAAACAGAGACATATTTATAAACATATCATCTGCAAATGTAGAAACACCTTTAACTTCATTACTTGAGGTATATAAATACAATAAAATATCTATCAATTGAATATCATTGAAAAATTTTAATGGCCTGAGATATCTGCAGTATGTTACGTTAATGTAAGGTTGTACATACTTTGATTAGTTTTTTTAGAAATAAATAAATGCTAAAATCTCCAAACCGTGTGTAATATTTTAACAAAAATAATTATCTCAATAGAGTAATAAGGGCTACATATAGGTGATGGGACTTGAAGTGACATTTACTTAGATTTTTATATATTTCCTATTTTAAATATCCTGTAGTTTTAGTCTGAGAACCATGTTAATACTGAAAAAATACTTTGGGAAAAGTTCCTAAAATTATGTGTAGATATAAATAGTATGATTACGATTATTTCAAAACAAAGCACAACTACATGTACTAACTCCCCACAATAAATGTAATCATCATGCTCTACAAATAGTATTAAAAAACAAACTAAAAAAAAGAGATTGGGGAGAAATGTGTCCAAGTGCCTTTAGTAGTTGTCTTACTGTGGTGGGTGGGATTTAACTCCCTTCCTTCACAATGCTTGATTTTTTGAAGTATAAATAAATCTGAGTTTGATAATCTGAGTTACAAACAGTGAGGGGAAGAGTTGAATTGAACTGTGTTAATATTTTAATAAATAATCCTGAGATGTCCATGAACCTCTAAGAGCTGGGCTGCTGCAGTCCTGGGGGAATGTCTAGTACTAATTTGTGGGAAGTTGACAGAGTGGAGGGACACCAGAAGAGGGTAACAGGTAGGATACTGGGTTGAGAAACCTTAACCAAAAACACAAAATTTGAAATGTTCTGGAATCCAAAACTCTTTGCATACCACCATAATACTACAAGTGGAAAATTCCACATCTGACCTAAACTGATTAGTCTCAGTATAAATTCAAGTGCACTAAAAATACTGTATAAAATTATCTTCAGGCTATTTGTATAAGGTACAGTATATATAAAACATAAATGAATTTCATACTTAGACTGTAGTCCCATTATGTACATTCAGATATTCCAAAGCTTCCCAAATCAGAAATCCGAAACACATCTGATCCCAAAGCATTTCAGAAAAGGGATATTCAACTGTGTTATTTTCAATGATCAGCCAGGAAATCCTCCTGACCCATCAGTCTAGGAGGAAGATAGAGAGCAAGAACACATCATGATGAATTAGTGAACAGCACAAATAAATAAGTCATTAGCATCTCACGTGGCAGAGCACACTGAAGACCCAGGAAGATTCCATTATCTCTAAGGAGGGTTAAAGGAGCTCAGCTAGTCATTACTGTGTCTTCAAACTCAGTAGCTTTGTGCCTAGCTCTTTGGAAGATAGATACTATTCCTTTAAGATGACAACTGTGATAGTTATTTATAGTCTAGAGTGATCTCTTTGTTAGAGTAGAGAAGCTGGCTTCTCAGAAAAACGCCACAGATATTAAAATGAGTAGGATCTCTGAACGAATACCTTGTACAGATACCTTATTTAGGAAAACTTCAAGAGAAAGGGGTAGATATTTCCATGTGTCCCAGTGTAAACAATTCATAAAGGACTCCTTGCCCTTTCACTAACTGTGAAAGTATGCTGAAGCCCTCCTGCCCTAGCATCCCCTCCTTGGGCATGATTTGTAACTGAGAGGGAGGAGTATATCCGGAACTTATAAAACCTCTGGGTATCATCTGCCTTAGTGTCTGTTTTCCAGGTTACTGGGGACCTGTTCATCAGATATTAATGACATAGAACAGCCCCTTAACCAATGCAGTGAAAAGTGTGAGCTGTTCAAGTGCTCAAAGGAAGAATGATTTCTCTCCTCTGAGCCCAAGGAGTCAAATCATTTCATCCTCAATCTGTTTTTTTGCCTCAAGGTCTGGGTCAGGTGTCACCAAACTGTATAAAATTCACCTTCATTTTAGCTTCTTCAACCCTTTATCTCTTCACAGTCTTGGTCTGATGTGGGGCTGTTTTATCCACATCAGTCATTCAGACCAAAATCTTCTCATCCTGAATCATATTTCTCCATGGCCAGCTGAGGACTGTATACAAATCATTTGCCTAATGTATTGAGTTGAGTTGAACTTTCACTTGCAAATAGAATAGAAAGCAAACTACCTGAGTGTTCATGTCCTCTATTTGTAGCACAAGTCTAGACCCAGTGGAGTCAGGAGTGGAGAGCCATATGAGATGAGAAAATAGTGATGACCTGTTGTCTATATAGAGAAGCATACTGCAGATTGAGAGTTTCCTTCCCTTGAAGAGCCATTGTAGGTGGAAAGAGACAACAAGGATTAATCTCATTGATCCATGAATAATGAATGAGCTGCCACCAGGGGCACTTCTGGACAAAAATACACTGTTTATTTGTCAAGGGATGCCACAAAAGTAGCATGTTGGCCTTTGTGAGTGCATGGGGAAGAAGAAAGCTGTGCTGCATGGAACCAGCCATGTGAGGAGGGCATTCAGCACAGTTCTGAGCAAATTTCAGGGTGAAAAGAAGCCTCATGCAGTGATAGAGAATAAGAGGAAATGATTCACAGAACGTTGGAATTTTCCCCCTCCGTTGAATCAAACACTGACCTGGATAGCTGTTTTTGGCTTAAGATTCATGGCATGTGTCTGAGCAGGGCCTGGAAATGAAGTATCTGGTTGCGGGGAATTTTGCTTTTCATTTTGTTTTGTGTGAGGCTTATTCTCAGCTTTGGCTCTGCCCTCTGCTTTGTTTGTATGGGATTGTGACTGTATGTATTAAGCAACTAAAGCCATTCTTTGTTTGGTTGTGTTGTGTTGTGTCTCTTGAGACTGTTTCTAAATATATGCATTTTTGATTTTGTTCTTAACACAGGAAAACTCCGGAGATGAAAACCGAGCTCTGGTCCATCAGCTTTCCAATGAAAGCAGGCTCTCTATTACTGACTCCCTGTCGGAATTTTTTGATGCACAGGAAGTTCTGTTGTCTCCAAGCTCTTCAGAAAATGAGGTTTGGGCACTGTTTTTCCTTACATGCCTTGACAATTGCTTTTGTGTCTTTGTTGATTAATCTGTTCAGTAAAGACTTATATGGAGAAACATAAAACTCATAGGCCTTTTTCCACGATGGAATTCTGACTGTTCTCTGTTGAGTCAAACCCAAAAAGCACAGAATGATTCAATAGGCTAGGAGAGAAAAGTTGCAAATGTAGAGAATGTTAGACACCTCTTCATTTCTGTTGTTTTGTTACAGTTTCATTACAGATTGATAATTCTGACTTTTATTTAGTGATGTAGGATTTCTACTATAGAGAAAGCAATTAGCATTCTATGTATTTTCAGTCATGCTAATTTTATGATATAATTTTATATTATTACAATGATGTTAATGTAGTATTAATTTACATAAAACAATATTGCTTTAAATTGGTACATAAAAATCATCTTTCTGGAATAGACAAATACTGTAGTTACCATTACTGTGAGTAAATGTGTACTAGAAATAGTAACACTGTTGCTATATTAATTCCATATAAAAATTTTTTTATAAACAGTTCAAAGATAAAATTGTAACTCCTTTACTCAAAAACTAACAAATTCTGAAAATGTAATATGAATTAATAAGAATTTTATAACAGAAATATAGTTTATTTGCTATTTTGCCATTATAGCTAACCAAAAAATACAAGAATATAGTAACAGTTATTTTGCTATGAGCACTGCCTAGAAAGATTAATCTGTGGGCCTCTATAATAGCACCAAAATTCTTTCTATTGCCTCATAAAGTAGAGTTCAACACATTTGATCATTTGTGATAGATTTAGGAAAATCTGGCTATTGTTTACTCTTACTGTAATGTATATTATTTCTTTTTTTCCCATAGATTTCTGATGATGACTCATATGTCAGTGACATAAGTGATAACTTTTCCTTAGACAACCTTAGTAATGATTTAGATAATGAAAGACAGACTTTGGGTAAGATTTACATTATTTGATCTCTGAAAGCTTTAATCTTCATAGAATCTTAATAAATAAGTATATATAGCAAGTACTACGTGGAAAAATTAATGCCAGGATTTTGTAATATAGACGAGGAAGGAGCTGGGGATTTAGCTCGGTGGCATAAGCCACCTGCCTGGCAAGCATGAGGTTGTGAGTTCGATCCCAGGTACCAAAAAAAAAAAAAAGAAAAAGTTTTTCTGCTAAACATTCATTATAGATGAGGTAGCAGCATCTACATGTGAAAGGTATATACATCCAAATCAATTTGTTTACTTATAAAAGTTTTTATTTTATACAGTGAGAACATGCCAGTTTTCACATACATATCAAAAAATAATGCAACAACTGTCCTTTAGGCAGAAAATATCCTAAGAGAATTAGAATGTGACTGCTTTGCTTTTAGCTATCTAAGGGTTTTTATATTTCAAGAATTTGACAAAGCACATATAATCAAAGATCTGTCCTAAGTGGTAATTTAACTTCAGATTATTCAAAATAGTGCACTTCTGCCTCCCCTCAAGGTATCCTAAGATGTGTCTTTATTACTGCTTGATCCCAAGAGGGAAAACAATGACTTAGAAAGGTTTTCTATAATGCTAGTTTGAACTGTAGAGTACCTGGAGTGTCTAGCTAGTATCAAAGAGCTCCGATTTGGAGCTTCAGTAAACATACTGAAACCTATTTATGAGGAGGCCCTTAAAAGAATCTGCCCAATGGGATAATTCTCTCCAGGGATCCTTGTAGCATCAAATGTTCCCAGGCTTAATTCTCAGTGTGCCCTGGAGTCTGTAGCTTGTACCGCCCAAAGCGCCACCTATTTTCACGTTGACGTGGAGGACAGGGACTGTGTCGGGTATGTTCCTTACTACTTTGGTGTTTCTCAGTTCAGTGAGTATGTGTGAACTACCATGATGAATTGTTGTTGCGACACTACAGAACTGCTTCTTTGGGGACCACAATATAGAAAAAAGGCAAGTAGATAAATTTCCCATCATCTGAGTGAGCATCCTTTCAGTATTGCATCTGCTAGCAGTACATGCTTGTCATGCTCTGTATCCTGCTTGAAATATTTCTGCAGAGATGAGCCCCTTACTGGAAAAGTCTAAGGACCAGTGAGTTTAAAGTAGAAGGCTAATAGTACAGTAGTAAGTTCGTGTGCTTCTTGGTTTTTTTTTTTTTTTTTTTTTTTGAAAATAAAGAAGCAACTTAAAAAGAGAAAGAAATACCACTTACTCCTTTGGCAAACAGCACACTCACTAATGTGGTGCTCCCACTTGAAGATGAAGAAAAAAAAATGCTGAAGTCCTTCATTTCCTGGAGGCCTCAGACAGGAAGCCTAAGGGACCAGAGAGTGAATGAAGGGTTCAAACGCTGAAGCTGGGCAGAGAGGGTATAATCCAGAACTCAAGGCCACAGCTGTGCTCACTTAACAGCAACTAGAAAAAGCATAAAAATGTTGGGGCTGGTTCTAATTGAGCCATAGCTATTTTGCTGGAATGCTGACCTGTGTTGCCTTAGCTAAAACAAACACCAGGCAGATCAAGTTTTCTTCTTTGTCTGTATTTGAATCTAAGAAATTGCTGCTCCCAGTTCTCCAAAGATGTTGGCTGAGGAATAGTCGACTTCTCAATATTTTGAAGAGATGGATGTAGAAATTTTTTTTATGTCCTGTAAATTTTACCTGCAAAAGGAAATAGAATAGAATCAAGATCTTGGTCTGTTACTACACTGAACGTGAGGTATTTACAATATTAGTTTCTTTTTCCTCTCCAAAAATACTGAGCACACGTTAGGATCTGTTACTGTGCTGGTTGCTGTGGGGAGGACAAGTGGCTAAGCATATAATTCAGGGACTCTCTTGGTTAACCTGCTCCAGCTATGCCAAATGTTAATGGCGCGTGCCAGAACAAGTTACTTCTGTACCTCATTTTCTTCATCTGTAAAGTGGAGACAGTAATACTCTGTACTTCAAAAAGTAGTTATAAAAATAAATGAGAATAATACATATAAAATGCTTGGACTTACCATCACATAGTAAAAATCAAAATATGTAATCCATACTAGTAATATTGGTATAATGAAGGGTAACATTATTCCAAAATTTATATTTCTATAATCAAAGAAAATGCTATGAAATGCCCTGGAAAGCTGCTTTTAGAAGCTCCAATTAGCCGATGTGGTGGTGCACTCCCGTTATCCCAGAATTCAAGAGGCTGAGGCAAGGGGATCAGTGAGAGCCAGTCTGGGCTACAAAGTGAGCTCAAGGCCACCCTGAACTTCATAGCGAGACCCTGTCTCAAAAAGGTTTTTAAAATTAATAAAAAATAAAAGCTCCTACCATTTGCAGCTACTTCCTTATGTCAGATTTTTCTCATAAGCAATGAACCACATTTAAGTATCCAAATTTCATAATTTTCTTTTCATCAAAGAACATCAAATTTATGAAATTCTTTATCCAGAGTAATTGGGTTTGTAATGAGTGTTATATATTTATGTTTAATAAATAAAGATATACCAAAAACACATACTGGTCCAATGCAAAAGATGTCATTTGAACATCTGAAAAGTTAGAATGGGAATGAAATTTCAGGGAATGAGGCAAAGAAAGAAATTGATAGATTTATAGATCTAAAATATGAAAGTTTCGATCCCCCAAACCCTCTGTGGAACAAATGAAGATTAAATTGTAAAGCAAATATAAAAAAAGATCACGACTTTAATAGGTAAATGGAAAGCAACAAATCAGCCAAGAATAAGTGCTCATAAAAACATTCCAAACCATACCAGAAATCTCTAAAATGTAAGTTAAAACAAGGGAACAACATTGTCTACCAACCAATTTGATAAAACTTATAAACAAATAGTACAAAGTCTGGGAGGCCTCAGAAAATGAATGTTCACATCTGTTGCCAGTGAACAAGAATATTTGTACAACCTTTTTGAAGAGTATTCTGATCACTTGAGTCAAAAGTCTGAAAGCATTTACAATCTCTGCCATGGTGATCCCACTTTTGTATATGCTAAGAAAATAATCTGAGGGCCAAGAAAATATCGAAGTATGTGAACATTCACTACTGATTTTTTTTGTTGATTTTGTTTTGTTTGCTTCATAATAAAACATTGAAACAAATCTAATAGTCTAACAGACAAATGGGCTACTAAATTATGGCATATCTAGAAATGGAGTATTTTTATAATCATTTAAAATGATGTTTTAAAAGAATTTTAAATAATGTGGAAAAATGCCCCTGTTGGCTACATAAGCCGAACATGGAACTGTATGTACATTGTAAAGTTGTGTGATTGAGAAAACACAAGTGAAGATACTCCAAAATGTAATGCTATTTTGAGGTGGCAACATAATGAGTGGCTATTATGCCCTGTATTATTATTCTGTGATAAACTGAATTGTTTTTATTAGAATTCGAAGTCATTTGCTAACAAAATTCATAAAGTTTTTGTAAATGACATCTGCTATAGGCATAAAAACTCAATTTCCAGTTTTATTCTAACTGTATATAAGCCACAAGGAACTAGTTTTTAAGAATTTTAAGAGCCTCCTTATGAATAAATTCCATGAATTTTAATGTGTGCAGTTTTAGGATTTTCACTTATTTTGTGGTGCTAGGGATTGAAACACGGCCTTGCACATCCTACGCATAGACTGTACCACTGAGCTTCATGCTAAGCCCTAATTTTTGGTAATTAATTGCCCAGAATTCTTTTCCTTACTTTCTGGCTCTTAATCACACTCAGGGTAAATGAGTTTCACAGTTAAATCAGGACTTGCCAAGTGAGGTTTAATACGAAGAGTTGTTTTTAAGTAATAGAATGAAATGAAAAGATTGATGGAGACTGAAGTCTTTGCCCCTCAGGGCCTGTTCTCGAGCATGGCGAGGGAGTGAGGTCCGAGAGAAGGACGTGCCTGCCCGCGCCGGGTCCCAACACCAGCAACATCAGCCTGTGGAACATCCTGCGCAACAACATCGGGAAGGACCTGTCCAAGGTGGCCATGCCCGTGGAGCTGAACGAGCCCCTGAACACCCTGCAGCGGCTCTGTGAGGAGCTGGAGTACAGCGAGCTGCTGGATAAAGCGGCGTGCATCCCCAGCCCCCTGGAAAGGATGGTGAGGACTCAGCCTGCCCGGCCTTGCTGTTGGCTTGTCCCTACCCGGAGCCATTTTTCTGGGTCCCTCCGGGCCAAGATGGGTAGAACCCCCATCTGACTGCCTGCTTTAAACTGCGTCTGCACCTTGGAGAGGTGCCCCTCTGAGGCGGCCTGTTCCCCTCTGCCTGGCTGTGCAGTCACGGCCTCAGGATCTGCCCTTGTGCCCTTGTGCCAACAGGGTTTTGTGCTTCCCTCTCTAGAACCTTCTGTCTGATGATTCTCACAGGCCTGTCTGAAAAACAGCTTTAGGGCTCTCAGCATGTTTATTTTTACTACCCTGAGTGGACAAAACTTAAATTTCTTCAGCTATTTTTTTCATCTAGGGTAAATGTCCCTTGAGAATGTTTTTGTTTATTTTTGAATTGTCCCATCACTTCCTAGGTTTTCAGAAAGTACTGTTCATGGAAGAGGTTTTTACATGGAAAGATTCCCTTTTTTCTCATTCATATTCTATAGAGTAAGTTTTTTTTTAAACCTCTTTCTTGAAATTATTGAAAAATTTTATTTTGAAAACTGTTCTTTTGGTGTTCTGTATGTGACTCGCAGGGGCCTTGTCTGGGTGTGTTGCTGGGACTTCAGCATCCCCCAAATGCAGACTGTGCTGGCATTTGCTCAAGAGTAAGTTGAACTGGGGACATTTCCTTCCCCTGTCACAGACCTAGCACCCCAGCACCTTCCCACCAGTAGGTGATTTGGTTTTTTTCTAAATTCAGTGCTCTCAGAAGTTCTAACCCTCATGAAAACTTCATTACTTCAGTGGCTTGAAGAGTAAAGGGAAATCTAAATCACTGGCCAAAAGAAGATGTTTGTCCTTATTTCTTCTGTTCTGGGCTTCCCCCATGAAGTAGTGTTTCTTTTTTCCTTGATGTTAATGGTAATAAGGACAGCATAGGAAAAAAAAATAAAAAGCTCTGTGTGTGTGTGTGTGTGTGTGTGTGTGTGTGTGTGTGTGTTTCAAAGCTTTGTTACTTTAGGGAATTTCCCCTGTAAAAATGGAAGCAAATACCTTTTAAGGCAAGTGTTAAAAGTCAACATTTGTGGATAGTTTTTTTTTCTTTAAGAAAATTATTGGGTTTGATGATCAGAGTATTCTTAAAAACAGTTGTTTCTTAGGGGAATTTAGAGACCCTTGAATGTTCTGCTGACTGATCTTTATACTTGACTTTGAGCAGAAGTTTGAGGAAAGGCTTCACCTCCCAGCACACCACTGAGCAGAGCCCCGCCTCAGGCTTCCTTTTTATTCTGAGGGTCACTAGGTTCCCCTGTGTGGGTTCTCTGTTGTGTTGCCAGCCTACAAGGAGGTGCTTCATTTTCCTGCCCCCGCAGTGTCTTCCCGTAGCATGTGGATGGCAGTAGGTTCTTTTATTAAATTGTGAACGTGACTCATGGTTGTTCATTACTCTATGCAATGTGACCTTACTGTTTCTCACGTCAGAAATATGAGGAAGCAGAGAGAACAGAAACCTGTGGTTCAAGGACACAGGCAGTCACAGATGAGACTCACATGAGCATAGTGAATTTTATATGTATACATGTTTCCTTTTATTTCCCCCAGGTGCTGGGGATAGAACCCAGAACTTTGTACACGCTACATGAGCATTCTGCTGCTCAGCTACACCCGTCCATAGATTGATTTTTATTAATGATCCAGGAGCTCTAGAGCAATCTGTAGTAAGATGGCAAGGTGCCCCATTAAAGACAATACCCAAACATTTTTCATAAGTCTAATATAGAAAGTGATGTGGGTAGTGAACATTTATGAAAGCACCTGGCCTTTCTTTAATGTAAGAATCTTCAAGAAATGTATTGGGAAGAAGAAATGTTGAGATCATTACTATTCAACATTAGAAAGGAAATTTTGCTATTATTACTTAGGTTTAACCTTTCTGGCCAAAAAAAAAGGGAAAAGGTAATGTGTTTTTTTGATAGCTAAAGGGGGAACTAATAAAAATCTGGAATCTCAGGATTTCATGTTCACATGTAGATTTTTTTTCCTTTAGATGTTTCGTTTTCTTCTAGGAAGGCAGAATTTTAATATCACTGAATCCTCTGGTTATTTCCCAGATTTAGGAAATGATGCTTGCAGATTTTTGTTGGTTAAAATGAGTTTTTAGGTTTCAACGGTATTAACATTGTGAATAGCCAAACTTATGCTACTTATTCCTGGACTTGCGGGGGAAGTTTGGCTTCTTTTTATACTCTTCCCCAGTCTTCCCTGAAACCATGATATCAGGATTCCCAGTTAGTGTCGGGCTTGTACTGACTCGAGAGTAGTCCATCTTATAAATGTCGTCATTTTAAGCACGTCCTCTGTCCTTTAGGCATCAAAATAAGTGGAGAATTTTTAAATGTTTGATTTTGTTTCTAGGTCAAAATGAACATTATATAAACTTACAACTTTTAAAACAACATCAATTCAGTAGTCTTTAAACCAAAGACACATCTTTGGTTCCCTGTAATAAACCACAGAGAGAAAAATTAAGGTTTTATTTCATTTCTTTTGAAAAAAAGATTTCTTGATGGCCCAGAAGTAACCAAGTTCTTTTCTTTTCCTTCTTAGGTGTATGTGGCATCCTTTGCCATATCTGCATATGCATCCAGCTACTACAGAGCTGGGAGCAAGCCATTTAATCCAGTCCTTGGAGAAACCTACGAGTGTGTTCGGAAGGACAAGGGCTTCCAGTATTTTGCAGAACAGGTGGATATGTACCACTTTCTTGGTGGTGGGGGGTACTTAGGCCTGCCTTTAAATGTGCTTCTAAAACACTCTCTCCCTTTCAGTGGCTTCCGAGCAACTGAGATAATTACAGTGCTTTGAAACATAAAGCCAGGGATCCATTTCCCTTTCATTGAAAAACCCAGCCACTACCCATGGCCTCAAAGTGGCAGATAATTCCAAGCACTCACTGCATGCATTAACAGTGTCCTTTCTCTGTAAAATCATGAGCAAAAAGAATTTTTCAAGCATGCAGGGCTTGTCCCATTTGTCACTCTGAGACTGGAAACCCTCTAAATACTGGCACCGTCGTCCCAGAGCCTGACCACTCCTCAGAATGGGCAGCACCACATCAGTGCATCATTCTCAGTTTTGTGTATTTATTTATTCATTCGTGTGTTCATTCATTCAATCAACAAGTCGTTTCTTGGATATCAACCTTGGGGGTGGCACGATTCTGGGCACTAAGATGCTGCAGTGGGCAGGAGGCTAGGGAACCTGGCAAGAATCCCCATCATTGTAGATGGACACATACTTCCTAAAATTGGGGCCTGAGACTTTCCACATGAGAATGAGCACAGGATAATGTTCAAGAAGTTAAGCAAACTGTGTTTAGTCTCAGCTGTATCTCTTAATACCTGCATGCCCCGGGGCAAGTCACTTAGCTACTTTATGCTATAGGTTCCTCTTTAACACAAGGTGATGATTACTCTGTGTGCTTCACCTGCCTGTGTGATGATTGGATGAGACATGAGAAGAGTTGATACATGAATTGTAAATGTTCTGTGTGTGTTTTCTGGCATTGCCAATACATGTCAGCATGGTATGCAACAGCGGAATGCTGGGAATGTGGAAAGTATGCCTAGTGGGGCATAATTGCAGTTGGAGTGCACACAATCAGAAAGTAACACAATAACCCTTCCTCATCTTATGGAGCAGCAGTGGACCACATTCACTTTCAGTATGTCCCAAAGTGTCACCTGATGGCCACTAACATCATTGTTTAGCTACATTTCTCTCCTCTCAATTCTTAGAGGAGCGAGAGGAAGGATGGATTGCCAAAGTATTCCTTCCCTTCCAGTTGCCCTCTTTCTCTCTGGATCTGTCTTATGAGGGTCAGAAGAGTGATGTGACCCACAAAGGTAACTGTAAATGATGAGCAGCGTTGTCTGGAACTCAAAGAAAAATGAATATGCAGTAATTTCAAAGCATATTGTCAGTAGCTTTCCAGTGAGGAGCTAAAATAAGAAAATGAATACTGACTTGTACTAGGGAGGCGAGGGGTTAAATTAGTTAAGGGGATAAGATCATCTGTCTGATTCAAATTCAACTGGGCTATTTAAATACTCAACCTAAAATGGAAAGAAAATGTAATTTTGTTACCATGGTATTATACTTGCTCTTGTGAAGGAAAAAAAAAAAGCCCAAAATAGCCCCAAACGATGGCAGACAATCAGGATAGGATGCAGAAGCATAAAGAAAGAGCAGTGCTGGGCATGATGGCACATGCCTGTAATCCCAGCAGTCTGGGAGGCTGAGGCAGAAGGATCACAAGTTCGAACCCTGCCTGGGCAATTCCACAATTTAGCAAGACCTTGTCTCAAAAAGGGATATAGCTCACTGCAGAGGTTCTGGGTTCAATCTCAAGTATTGCAAATAAAAGATAAAAGAGGAAAAGGAAGGAAGGAGGAAGCTAAGGGTACAGGATTCTGCAAGACTAATGCAATAAATGGAGGGGCCCCAAATTAACGTTTTTCATACAATTCTATCCTAAGAAAGACACTGATTAAAATCTTGTCTCAAAAATAAACTGAGGACCTGGGAGACACTACGTGGTGCAATGTTCTGAGTTTTCTAGGTAACAAAGTCTTGAAAGTGGCAGTGCTCTCTTGTCCCAGGAATGTCTCACTCTAGTTTGAGGGTTTTAATGTTTTTTGTTTGTTTGTTTTTGGTACGGGAATTGAACTCAGGACCTCGTGCTTGTCAGGCAGGGGCCGTGCCACTGAGCTACATCCCTGGCCTCTAGTATGAGGTTATATGGATGTTGGAGGTGTTAAGAGCCCCAGGAAATGAAGTAGCTGCTGCTTTCAGAGTTCAGCTACACAGAATCTTGCTTCTCTGTGTCGTTTCTCATCTAAAAAATGTAGAAACACAGTATTAAAGCTACCCATGGTCAGAAACCAAAGAAAATATTCCTTGTTCAGAATTTCTTAATCACAGTTAAGTACTAGGCTATTTTTATATCCACACCACGCAACTCTCAGAACTACCAAGAATTGTGTGGTATGGATATAAAAATAGCCTTTTGTATACTCTGCAGACAAAGGAATTTGACCTGTCATTGTCACTTAATCTTTTCATCCTCTACACTGCCAAAGGACTTTGTTCTCAACTCCCATCATGGGGTGGACGTGAATGGGAGGCATTCATGGAAGAAAGCATAAAGATTCCTGTCCTCTGTTCCAGCCTGTGGCTACCCCACCTTCTCAAGGGTGTTCTGTGTGCCAAGAAATGACACAGCCTGGGCTTTCTAAGTAGGCCCAGGAAGGGCAATGTGGAGAGAATGGCCTTCCTTTCTTTCCTTCTGTCCAGCACTCAGTATCCTCCCCATGGTTACTCCTTGCTGTCTTCTGCTGGCTGGTGGAGCTAACACACTAGGTTTGAGCTTTGTGGAGGGAAAGCGTGAGCCAGAACTCATTTCAGTTAGCTCTGCTGCTTTCTTTGTACCTTTGAGAAAGGTGTGGGTTGAAAGCAGATGCAAATAAGCCGCTACCTTAGCAGCTTTTCCTAGGTATGATACATTGGTCTTTAGTTGTCCAATGCTAGTTCAGGTAATTCTGACCACTTACCCATCCAGCTGTATGAGGTTGACAGTTTGTGTCAGAGACACACTTAGTAAAAGTTATTAAAAAATTTTAAAATGTTACTGAAAAGTAAGAAATTCAAGTAAAGTCTTTTTTTCCTTTGCTCCATGGGCTCAGCATGCCCTGCTTTTCTGTTGCTTATTTGGAAAACTCTGAACATAACATTCTTGCGTGGATTTCTAAATGTCACTCTTAATGCTTTCTCCTTGAACACTTACATCACTCTGAATAGTTCTTTTATCTCCTGCAGATAGTGATTTACTGCAGATCAAAGTTGCATCACTTTTAAAGACACTATAAAGAGGAAATTCAAGCTGTCCAAATAAAACTAGCTATAACTCAAATACAAGGTAAAGAAGCCTTGCTTTGTTGTTTCCTAAATTTCTAGGTCAAGTTATCACTTAAGACATTCTTATTTTTATTTGTTTTTTTGTTTTTTTTTTTTAGAGAAAGATAAAACAGAATAGAAAATGGGCAGAAATAGTACATACTTTCAAAGAAAAGAAATAAACAGTAATAAATCACTAGTTGATGTATACATATTGTCCCCCCACAATTGTTCAAGATACAAAAGTGGAACATATAAATGGGAATTCAACCGGGAAGACTGCAAACCATTCTGTTCAACTATCCAACAAAAACTAAGCAATATAGGGCCGGGGATTTAGCTCAGCAGCATAAGAACCTGCCTGGCAGGCACGAGGTTGTGAGTTCAATCCCTGGTACTGCAACAAAAAAACAAAAACTAAGCAATATGAGTATCAATCCTATACACTTAGACATATACGCATTTATCCATATCTTCATTTATGTTGAGAGCTAACAAAACTTACTAGATTAAAATCCTTCTGTACAAAGATTAATAATATTGCTGGATTTCACATCGTAACACTCCGGAATCAGCACTGAGTACTGCAGTGTCCCTTTCTTTCCTTCAAAGTATTTGTTCATTTCATCATGTGTGATAAGATCAGTTCTCATAAATTGTTTATAGGTTTTACCCAAGCATGAGTTTTAACACATATTTCTATCCTTTCTATATTAGAGGGAGAAACAGAACAAAGCAGGACAGAACTAAACATATTCCTATAGACACATAAAACCAAAAAGACATATAAAACTGCTGTATAAGGAGTTCTACCATGATCACTGTGCTGTTTCTTGTTATCATCAACAGAATTGGCTATATCATCAGATAAAGTATAATTGAACATATCAGTACATAACTATTAACAGAAATACAACTTTGTAGATAGTGTAGAGCTACAAAAACAGGTAGTATTCAAATCAGAGTGGATATCATGGTGAATCATTGTCATTTTCAGTATAGTTGTCTATACTCCTCAACTTGATACCAGCAACCTAACAGTTTTGATTAAAATCTGTCAATAAGCAGCAATCAAACAAGTAAGATTTAACTAAGATCAGTCATGACACAACAGTATAAGTCATACAGGGATCCTGATTGAGTTAATAGGAAATTAAAGATGACCACTGTGCTATGTCCTGATATCTTCAGGACAGCTGTCTGTGCCCTCAGATCTAGTGCTTGCTAGGATGGAACAAGTTCCAACCAAGCAGAGTGGTGCGAGAAATAAGGGTTTTAATTCCTGATACACTATTAGCTATATCTTCTGCTGTTTTTTTTTTTTTTTTTTTTTTTTTTTGAAGACTATTCCTCTGCTTTACTCCCCCAGAATGAACTATATATTTTCGGGTCTCCCCATCACTCACGGTTTTATACTGGGGTGGGGGCAACCTGCTATTTACCTAAGTATTTTTGTACTTTCTCACTCCTGGGTTGGATTTCTAGTTACAGTTCTTCATTTATTAAAGCCTGTCTGTTCAACCTATCCATAAATACTGGCCCAGTTACCCCTATTACTTTCTGGTTCCATATCACTTTGAGTTCCATTTTTCTCATATTGATTTTAGTCTATATAACCTTCTTCAGGCTAATTATATTTCCTATAAAGAGTCTCTCGGTGGACCCTACCTCTTGATCAACTCAGCCTGCGATTCTCTCTTTTTTCCCTTAAGTTGGTGTATTTAGGCCATCTATATTAGAAATTATATCCAACCTTCTTTGCCTCATTTCTGTTGTGTTCTTTTTCTGTC